TTCAAATCATTAGATTCAAAAACAACTTTCAAATTTTGATTATGTAATAACATTAATATTTAATAAATTTATTAAAAACTTCTATTTCGTCATTATTTCCATTAAATGTCATTTGTATTTAAGAAAAATTCAATATATTATTCTTATCCTCTAATGCTTCCTAGTACTGTTAAGCCTGTCCTATTTATAACTTTTTCAATAAAGAAAAAAAAAACCTGATCTTTAAAATATTAAAAATCCAAATACAATTTTTATGTTAATTTTAATATTTAATTTTTACTCATTCTATATTTAAGAATACCAAATAGAATTTGAAATAAAAATATGAAATCATTTTAAAAGTCGCGTTTATTATTATTAATTAATTAATTTTTATTTTTTTTTTAACAATAGAAATGAACAAAAGTTTGTACAAGAAAAAAAAAGGAAATGTTAAAATAAAATAAAAAGTGAATTTCAGTTGATTGAAGCAACAAACAAAGCTAAAGAAGAAACGTGAAATTTTCTTAATTATTTGTTGTTCACCTTGACTCATTCTTTATATGTATATTTTAGCGTGTTTGATATGCAACGAGCGAGTATTGTTGTTGATAGTTGAAATTATAAAGTTGAGTATCCTAATAAATATACAAACACTCTTATAAATGTGTTATATAATGTGACTTATTCCATTTATGGAAGAAACATATACATATACTTATGCTTATGTGGTTACTTTTACGAATTTATTTCGCGTATGTGAATAAAACAAAATAAAATGAAGGAAAAAAAACGCCGGTTCGTTTAATCGCAACGCAACGTCTTCTATTAAAAGTAGTTTTTTTTGTTGTGTTTGTACCTTAACGTACAATTAGCATATATACCTTAAATGCACAATGGTACATAAATGCATGTATATCTAGATAAGTTACAGTAAACGAACGAAATTTAGTTTGCTACAACACTGTTCTACATAGGGTTGGAATTGGGTTTGGAGAAAATCTTTAAAACTTAAATATTATTTTCTGTATTATATTGTACCTAACCTATAGGTTAAGGTACAGTTTTCCTATAAGTTTAGGTACTAGATAATTTATCAAGCAAGAGTCAAAAACCAAAAATGAACCTTATATATATACATAATATCGAATTAATTAAACATAACTTTCGAATGACCTACATACGCTTAAACCTTGTAGAATCCTTTTGATATTTAAATATAAGTATATCAATGCAGTGCTTGATAATTTTGTAACTATTATTCTATTCAGGAACAATGAATAAGCATTTTCCTTCTTCCCTTCTTTATGCCACTCTTCGAATTAACCTTTCGAAACGACAGCATTGATTAACGCAATGTAGCAAAATAATGATCATTAATTACGAGTAACAAGCAAACAATGGTTTTTTTTTTCAAATTCGCTTGAAATTCCTTATGAAATAAAGAATTTGGACAGTTTTTTCCCTAATGTTAAAATAAAAAATTAAATAAATATAAAAAAAAAATATTTTTTAAGCCTTCTTTACCTTGTTAATAATTTTTTATTTATTTTTTATTTGTACTCAAGATGAAAGAATAAAAAAATATGGCAGAACAATAGTTATTAAAGAATACTGCAAAAAAATTAATTATGAAAAAAATCGCAAAACTGGTCTGTTCAATTCTTTTCTAGATTGTTATAAGCATTCATCATAATGTGGTTTGGACATTCGACATTGATGGGGTCAATAATGTTTTTTCTTTAATAAAAAAACAAGTGCTTTTTTAAAAAATTTTTTTAATTTATTTTAGAAGAACTACTTAAACTCTAACAAACTTGTGTGTAATAAGTTTTATATAAAAAGAATTTCTAAAAAAATGAAATCCAAAAAAAAATAAAATAATGCTGATGAACTAAGAAGTATACTAAATCAGGAAAAATTTTTTATTTAAATTTTTATAAAAAAGAAGCATTTCTCAAACAAAAAAAATCAAATTAAAACCATTACTTATATAGAAACCTTCAGGTTTCACTTTTTTTTTTTTTACGGTCTTTAACGTTTTTTTAAAGTCCGTAACCTTTCATATATGTATGTATTTATCTTACTTCAAACTCATATATTATAAGTTTTTTCTCTTTTCCTCTTTTATGCATTCTCCGCTGTGTGGATTTCAACAAATCATTTGAATGGCACTCTCTTTTGGGCTAAGCACTTTATTAATTGGAACTTCCATTTAATTGAAAATGGGATTACGCATCTTCTTCTTTACCTGTAGGTTTTAATCTAATATCTGCCTGGCTATCATATTTATTCGAACTCCGTAATGACGTTTATAGCATTCTGGTGTGTTATCAAATCACCCATAGTTATTGTTTGTTATTGTTCTGGGCCATAATATTACACATATTATCCATATGTCATCACATCTGTTGATATATAACTGCGCCTTATTGATATAAGATGTGTTGTCCAACCATTTTTTATATAGCCACACAGTAGTACGAATTTTAAACAAGCATTGAATATGCAAGTCTTAGTGTTCTGTGCAAAGTGGGGCTTTATAATTCAATATATATATATATATATATATATACTTAAGAAAATCTAAATTATGTCAAGTCAGCTTTGCAATTTTAACAAACAAAAGCAAATAAGACTATTTTATATTGAAAAACAGAAATCAAAGCACATATTGTGCGTATTCTGTGTGCAATTTCAATTAAAAATTCAAAAATATCAAACAAACACGCTACCAAACAAATAATTTTTTTATTACAATATGATTAATGTTAAAAAAAATTATAAATTTAAATAAATTTTAATAAGTAAATAACGACAAACAAAAAAACAAACCAAATTGATTTTAATAAAAATGCATAAATGCAATCGATTGCAAATTTTTTGATTTTCTTTTGCCATTTTCAATCGCAGAACAAAAAAATGACAAATACAAAATACCTTACTAAGCTAATCAATCGGGATTTATATTTTATTTTTTAAGCACAATAATTTTTATCGAGCGTATAAATATAACGATGATGACCTTCTCTTCACCATAAATTCAAATTTTAAAACCGTGAAGTATTCAACTTTTAAATTTTTGTTTTTTTTTTTTTTTTTTGTTATATTTTATGATATTAATAGCATATTTGGTAATTCAAAGAGAATTAAAAAAAAAAAATTCAAAGAGTATAAAAAAAGCAATTCTATTCAATATTGATTGATTTATTCAATTCAAATTTTGTTTCTAAACTTTGTTGATGAAAATTATTTAAACAAATTTATTATAAAATTTAGTATTAATGTTGCTAAACAAATTTGTTGAAATTATTATTTATTTCCGGTGTATAATGTAGCCAGAAATAAAAAATTGTCGTTCCGCATACAATACCAAATAACTCGTAATTTTTAAGACGTTCAGGAAACGCAAAATATCTTTTGATTACATTTAAATAAGATCTAAATCTAGGTGAAGATTTTTAATATTCCATTACTGTTTTACAAAGTTGGTAATAGTAATTTAAGTAGGTAATTTTTTGATGCTAAAATTTAATGGATCACAAATCTTTTTGTAGTCCGGTAATGCATTACCGCTCTACAAAATTATAAATTTATAAATAAGTGAGTATGGTATTTTGATTCTTGAAACCTATATAGATTTGTGTGTGCATATTAGACCTTATTAAAGTTTATATTTTTTAATTAATTAACACTTGGCATGCGGCGAACATATTTTTACGTTTTTTCTAGCCTATCGCTATACGTAAAAATACGTATTTTGATTTGCGAGTGTATATATTTACATAAGTGTAAAATAAAAAGGGTTTCGTTCACGAAAACGAAGTAGTTTTTGATATAATGCGATTTTTCTGACTGACTAAACTTCCGCGTTATTCACGAAAACACGCCCGCTACACGCGTAATTCGTCGCCGAATTATACCCGCATGCCAAGTATTAAGATAACTTTAAATTTTAAGGTTAAGGTGTTATAAGAAAATTTTCATAACGGTAAAATATAATTATAGCTTAAATCTTAAAGGGGCCCTGTACAATAACAGTTAAGAAACAAAGAAAAAAAAATTCCTAATTTATTTATAACAACCTTATTTTATTAATTTTTGATTCGAATTACAAAATTTACATGACTTTCGTCAGGTCACTTTAATGACCTAAAATAAAGATTTGCACTATTAATTTTCAAAACAAATGTGTAAGAGTACACGCATCTATTTAGTTTTCTCATTTTTTTATTCTCTATTTTCTCAATATGGTATTATTTAAAATAGTTTTAGTCGTTTTCGAATGCAAATTTGACACAAAACATAATTAAGGAAGTATGAAGAAAAATTGAAGTTAAAATTTCATTGTAACAAATAGTTTTTTTGTTTAGAATACATAATTAATATATTTTACATTTTTCAATGTTTCAAAGGTTATACAATAACTATGCATAGATTATGCAGCCCAATTTGATCTTAATACCAATTTTGATCTTAAAATTTCCATTAAATACAAAATATTAAGAAATTTATGACATAAATTAGTTTTCATTTATTAAAAATTGAAGTACATACTTTTAACAAAATTACTTTAGTTTTATTTTATATGGTAATTCAGTATAAGAGCAATTATTTTCTAAGGAAACATTCACTCAAAATGCTAACTAATCTAGAATCTACTTTGCTTTCAGCAATTGAATTTATTTTGTTGAATAAGTCAATTTTATATTAGACTTGAATTTTTGATCTTCTTCTAAATTTTTGTAAGAGAAAAATATCAATAACTAAAACGAAATAAAAATAATACCTTACAATTTTTTTCCCCCATTTTTTTATTTGTTTTCCATAGCTGATTATTATTGTTTAATTTGTAATTGTTACTTATATTTTCCTCAATTTTATTAAAAATTTATTATTTAATAATTTTTATAATCTTATTTTATGTTATATAAAATTGCATCCATGTAACTATGTGCATACATATATATGTTTATATGTTTTAATGCTTTTTTCAAAAATATTGTCAACTCTTATTTCAGATTATTTAACATTAACAACATAACATTGCGTGTACATAACAATAATTTGGTGGTGCCCGATGAGAAATGAAACAAAAACAAAATTTCATTTGGCTTTTAGCATTATTTATATTAGCATTGGATTTATGTTTTGGTGGCAGTCATGAATCACAATTACGTATCGGAAAATCAATTAATATATTTGTTCGTTATGGTTATCTTAGCATATCAATGAAAGTTATTTCAAATAATGATACTGAAAGGTGGTTATTTAAGGAGCCTACAAAAAATATTTACAAGGTTAGTGTTATTTTATACTTTACATTTAATTTTTTTTTATTATATATGGTTGACAAACACATAACACAATTATAAATTCATATTCCTCAAAATTTTTGATTTTTAATGAGTTTATTTTTTATATAATTAATGAAATCAAATTAATGGTTAAATTTAATTATTAAAGCTAGTGTTATAATATCGCTGTTATATAATGATATAAAGCAATATCACATAGAGTAATTTAAAATTTTTATAAAATAAAAATAATTACAAATTCATATATATATATATATATATATGGCTTTTTACAATAAATATTTAATTAAGAATAACGATTAATAATTTATATGAATAAGTATTGTGTTTTATTAATATTTAATTTTTTTAAATATTAAAAATTATTAATTTTTAATTAAATTTTTTTAATTATTTTAGGACATGAGCTCTTTAACTGAAACCAAAGAAGAGAACTCACCCGGTATATTCCATGGTGATTTTCATATGGAATTCTGTGACAATCGACGACAATTATATCAAGCATATTTTCGTGATTTTACAATAGAACGATTAGATAAGCCATGGGAAGCTTTTACTGGTGGTTGGCATTCAGAATTAGCTGCAAAAAAATTAGGAGTTAATACATCATTTATTCGTGGTGAATATTCATATGTTCTAGTCAGAGTTGTTAGATTTCGTGAAGTCGGTAAATTAAAACGATCAATACCATCTAATCAAAAACTTGAAAATGATGTATACGAAAGAATACAACAACTGAAGACTGGTAACAGTACTGATGCTATTAAATTTATGGAGTCATTTGGTACACACTACATTAGTTCATATACAACAGGAAATTCACTATATCAAGTTAGTATTATATTTATAATTTTAATACAATGTAAAATATCAAACTCTTTAAGGTGTTCGTTTATAATAAAATGAATTATCAAGTAATCAAAGATCGATTAAAATCAAAAGGAATTTCAGGTTTATCAAAATTAGATTTATATAATTTTTTTGCGCCATGGTATGCTGAACATTTAGGGCAAATAAGATCAGCAAGTGGGAACACAACAATTGAAAGATGGGCTAGAAGAAAACTTCAATATCAATATTATTTCTTTAGATATTCAACGCTCTTGAAATTGCATGGGAATGGAACTTTATTACGTTCATTAGATCATATATTGGATAATGAAGCTATTTTACAATTAGATTTAAAATCACTAAATGTTATATTTAGGGATAACGATAAACAAAAATGGTTTCAAGAAGTTTTAGATAATTATATGAAATTATGGGAAGTAAATATGGGACTAAATTGAAATAATTTTAAAATAATGCGAATACTTTTAATAAATTATAAAACTACTTTTATAATAAAATAAAACATTTATTATTTTTTTACTTATAAAAATAAATATTATATTGATGAATTGAAAATCTATACGTAATGCTATTCTAGATTAATATAGCCAGAGATTTTCCTATATTTTTAAATATGTCCTTTTAATAAATATTTTCAAAATGTTATAAATATTGTTACATTAAAAAATAATAATTCTCTTTAATTTTAAGTAGAATATTTTATCTGTGATAGTTTATAGTGTAGATAATTTTAAAACTTTAATAAGTATAATATCAAAATGTATAAGTTTATTTTGAAAGTAATATTAAGAACTATTTATTAAGACAATAAAAAAAAGCCAAATATTATTTAAAATTTAATAAACAAATTTAAGAAACTCTTATGTTAACTATCTTAGTTCTATAATAATATTACTACGTACATTTTTAAATCAATTTAGATAAAAAAATATGATATATTTGATATTCTATATTAAGTAATTTGAATAAAACGTAAAAAAAACGAATGAATAAAATAGAATTATTGTAGAAATTCAATTATCGTGATTTTATTTCTGCACTAGAATTAATGTTATATAACATTTATAGATCAATATTCTATTAATTTGGAAATTTGTTATATGCAATATAGTTGTGGAAAATATAGAAGCAGGGAAATAATAGAATTTTTTACATGTACATGAAAACATGAGCCCATATAAAAGTTTGTTAATATTTAATAATGATTTATATTATGCACATTGATAATTATCATAGAATAGTACAAGAACGTATACGCAATTAAAAAATTACATACATACATATATGAAAACTAATTCCACTTTCAAAAAAGATTATATTAACTAATTTTTGAACATTTACTTGTTATCTTTTTTATAATTTTCTAATAATAATTTTCTAATGTTACTTATCATATTTGGATGACAAATGGAATTAATTAATATTTCTTTTAACTTTGCTTCTGAGCTTTTATCAATTTTTTCTTCCAAAGTTTTATCGTATCTTAAAGAATTGTTTCGCATTAACTCTAAAAATTCGTGATTTAGAACAGTTTTTACATAGTAGTGATCACACTTTAAATTTTTTATTATGTTTTCTGTTTCAGCTTCTGTTAAGTACATATAAGGATATCGCAATGTTTTGGGTTTCTTTATACTAGCAATTTCATTCTCTTCATTGTTGTGTAAATTTTCGTCACATAATTTTTCCAATATTTGTAAGATTTCTGCATCTTCAAGGAAACTTATTAACTGAAAAATTTTGAAACTGTTATTAACTAAGTACACCCAATTATTTTCCATTTTTTATTTATTAATCTTTAATGGAACTTAACCGACCTGATTGGGATTTAAAAAATTCCTAATATTGGTTTCATCTTCAGCCACCAAGAACTTTTCAATTATGTATTTTACTAGGCACTCATCCAGTTGAGATTCGATATCAGATTCCTAAAAATGTAAATGATGCTAATAAAAAAAACTTATTGCGATTTAAGGCACAAATATTTAACTAAAGGAATCCAATGATTGAAACTTAATGATGTCTCTAAACTTTCAACATAATGCCACCAGTTTTTAGGAACTATAAGTATATCACCAGGCTCCAAAACACATCTATGGCATTTATCTTTGATTTCTATTAGAAACTTAAATTGAGTTATTTTAAAAAGCTTCATAAACTTATTTAGCTGTGATAAAATTACCTTTAAATTGACGTAAGTCATTTGGACTATAAAAATTTGTAGAACAATAAACACTAGACTCTTCGTATGGAATACGTATGGGATCAAATACAGAAGTTGGTGGAAATAGTAACCACGATTTTCTATGAAACAATTATAGTTAAATTAGTTTAGACGTTCTTTAAACTTTTTAAAATATTTTTAACTTTACTGAAATTAATTTACCTTCCAAACACTTGTACAACCACATTACAACCATATGTATCATAATGGCATGATGTATTACAATCTTTTGTATTTAACCAAAACGTGGTATCATTATCATCAATCTCAGGGAATCCAAAGCAGGTAAATTTAATATCGTCACGTAAAATATCTGGTAATTCTTCTATGTTTCTATAACTCAGACAAGCCCAATTTTCTGAAAGAAAATCTGAATTTTCTTCTAGAAACTCTGAAATATGCAATTCCTTTTCATCCCTAAATCTCTCCCATTGAGGAAAATGTGTATGCTTCCTTCTGCCAACTTCAAAATTTATTTTACAATGTTTCTTGTTCATGTGATTCTCCAATAATGAACACCAATCCTGTAAGGACAGGTCAAAACATTTCCAAGGAATCTTCAAATTCTTCAAAACAATGGGCGACTGAACATTTAATACCAATTCACGAATGTCGGTAGGGCTAAGTGACACCATTTTTTTATAAAATCAAAGTCTAAAAACCTTTTTTTCGAATCGGACGACTTGAGATTTGGAATTTAAATTGTTTATTTATTCCAAAACTTATACTCACGATTCAGTTGTCAAATTGAACAATTGAAATAACGGCTGACAGTAACACTAATCGTCAGTCGCAATTACAAAAACGCGGCTGAGGTTTTATGTCTTGTGAGGGCTGTACAAAATTATATCTATCTTGATTTTGACGATCGTACTAAAATATTAGCACCTCTATGGATTTAAAAAATGGCATTTTCGTTGTTTGATTTATCGTGTTTTCATTTTTGATAGCTGTTAATTGTTATTTTAAAGTTTATTTTAATGATAGGTAACGTTTATCGTAATCGCATCGTCTAAAAGATGTTTTTTTTTTGATTAAAATTTACGATAAAAAAAATAATCATGAAAACTTTTATCAATATATCATGAGCACGAACCCATTATTCATACTTGTATGCAGTATGAGTGCTATGATTGTGCAACATTTCACATGATTATTAACGGGCTCAGCTTCCGTTTTGGTATTGCACTAGTCCATCCTTTTTATTATTTTACATTGAAAAACTTAAAGAAATAAAGAAGAGAGTAGCCTTTTTGTACTTTTCATTAAACTTCTACACTACATATTTAATTAAATTGTGAATAAAACCTTCATTCTGTGGCAAAGTCAAGTAAATCGGGTTAAGCTAATTTAATTTATTATCAAATGAGCTGTTAAAAATTTTTCAGGTATGTAAGTCACTTATTGCAATAATAGTTAATAATCTTCTTATATCTCATTTATAGTGGATTTCGAGATCTTATTACTGAAATTAGCTTGCATATAAGTTTCTCTACTGAACTTAAACCATTTGAAACCAGTTAAACCTTTTCAATTGCAAAAGTACCTACCAGTTATCACGAGTCGTAATATTTAAATAAAGAAAATCAAGCTCTTTTTATTAAATATTTTCTTGACTTGATTTGCTAATAAACTCATTTTGAATCTCAAGTTTTTTTCTTTCTCTTTGCATAATTCATATTTTTGGCATTCCCAAATATTCGGTTGTCTCTTGGACCTCATTTTAGTTTAGTAAAATTAATTTAATTATTAAATAAAAACAACTTAATTTTGTGAAATAAAAATTTTATTTAGTATTTTATATTGTCATATTTATTAATACTTTTATTTATCATAATTTAAATCTACGCAACAGCCATCGAAATGAAGATCTAACTTCCTCAGTGATAAAATATGTATAACCAAGAAAATATGCTGCATTCTCATGTATAAATTTACATTAAGTTCATGTAAGACTAAGTAGCTAACCTAATATATTGTACATATGGAATTTTAAAATAATACTGAAGTTCTTCGATACAAAAGACCTACATATATATGAATAATAGCGTAACAAAAGTGTCCCTTTCATAAGTACATAAAACTTACAATGTTAACTGAGTATAAAAAAGAATTGCAAATAATGAATAAGATTGGTACATATGAATTTTATGTTGGACCAAGTTGTATTATGATAAGCTTTGGATTAAACGATTGCTTGTTATTAGATGAAATATTTGTACTTGCGATTCAATGTTCATCGATCAACTGAAATACTACTATTGCATGGCTTGAGTTTTAAACGAAATGTTAACTTTACCAACTCTGTAAAAATAAAGTTAAAAATATAGCGAAATTAATTAATTTTTCAGATAAAAATATCTTCAAAAACCTTACATTGAAGATTATCCATTAGAAGTTTTTGAAAAATATTGTTACTTCAAATATAATAGTTTTACAAAAATTCTTATAGACTATGTGACTGTATAGACTTATAGACTTGTAGACTATGTGTGCATTCGTATTGTTGTCTCGTTCGATCAATTGAGTCTAACTGGATTGTGTGAAATAGATAAGTGTTCTCTAAACAAATGAAAGTACATTCTATTTAGGCGCTTGAATTCGCCGTGACATCTAATGCTATTCCAATTACAATGGTTGATTTTCATACACATTATACATTGCGATCAAATGGATTTTGTATAGTATTCAATTATGTATAGTAATCTAATGTTGTAATCAAGAAATTATAAATCGCACGTTGTAATATTCCGATACCGCAGTCAATTTAACGCCTCTCAAGTCGCCGCCAATAAGCCCGCCAGATCCCATGCTGCAGTCAATGAACAGATAAATCCCACGCCGCCGTCAATGAACCTGCAACATCCCACGCCGCAGTCAAAAACACTTGATCCCACACTGCACTCAATGAAACTTCAAAATCCCATGCCGCAGTTCATGTCTTCAAAAAATCCCACGTCGAGGTATACGTCTTCAAAAAATTCCACGCTACAGTTCATGTCTTCAAAAAATCCCACGCCGCAGTCTATAGTTCGAAGAAATTCCAAGCCATGACCAAAAAAATAATGAATAAAAATTTCAAGCCTCAGCCTCAAAAAGTTGCAAACCGTAATCAAAAAACTATCAATTTTACTCGTTGTGAAAAACAAATCTTGTTCTACAATCGACGTCAGAGATCTTAATCTTCACTGTGAAAATCTTATCTGCTATCAAAGTAAACACGAACACTTCGAGTCGTAATCAATTCAGGTGCACAAAAATACAAAGTTGTAGTTATAACAAAGGTTGTTGTACGTTGTAATTAAGTGAAACACATACTCGCATGCATAAATGTTAAAACGATTTCATGTCGATTTTGATTAATGATTTGAAGCAAGCTTAAATTTCTAATATAACTTTGCCATTATCAAAAATGATTGAATAGTAAAAAAGCACGCTCTGAGTACAACTAATCAACGTTTTCTCAGTTATTTAAAATAGCTTGATTTTATGAAATTACAATTTTAGTACATGTTGTCATGTAATTTGTGAATGCGTAACATTTTTGTTGAGTCTTTGGAAATATTTTTTTCGTTATTGAACCGGTACATCCACTAATTTTTCGTTAAATTGAGATCGGCTTATTTTCGAAACTTGGCATAGTAACGCACAAAATTATTAAATATTGTAAAATCTTCTTAATAAAAATTTAAAGTAAACGCAAGAAAATGTTAGTGACATGCAAAGAAATGTTAGTGACTTGATCCCTCGCCGCAGTCTGAACACTGACCTTCGCCAAAAGTCCCTCGCCGCAGTCAACGAGTGATGTCCCCCGCTGCAATCAAAAGCCAAAGACCCTCGCTGTCAGGTGCTCGTCCATCGCCGCAGTCATCAGCTAGCCTCCATCGCCGCAGTCAACAGCTAGACTCCCTCGCCGCAGTCACCAGCTAGACTCCCTCGCCGCAGTCACCAGCTAGACTCCCTCGCCGCAGTCACCAGCTAGCCTCCCTCGCCGCAGTCAACAGCTAGACTCCCTCGCCGCAGTCAACAGCCAGTTTACCATACCTCAGTTAACAATTATCCTCTCCCACACAGTTAATCTACATGGCCACGGTCAAAAGTTCGTCTTCTTTGTCGCAATCAACATTTTTCGATTTAAAACTTTAAGTTAACGCCGTCATATGCTAGTCTATTTCTATGTATTTTGCAAAAGGTTTTACTAACTGAATTTGTCTTGCGAATTTGCGCGTTTATTCAAGATTTTGTACTTATTGCAGATATCTTAATCGTAATATGTTAAATTTGTGGTTGCAATGCATTCAGTACTGGAAACCCCTCGAAAAACTTTGAAATCTTGAAGAATCGAAACATTTTTGAATTTTGTTAAGAACAAAATGATAGCTCTTAATTAATGCTTTGTTTTAATCTTGAATCGCAACTGCTGAAATCAGGAGGTTACTTTTTTCTTCTACAATCAGTTTCGATATAGTGAATCAGTTGTTAAGATGAAGTCCATCGCCGCAGTCTGTTGCTCAACTTATCACTAAGTCCACTATATCAGTCTCCATTTAAGTCATTGCACCATTTAAGTCCTCCGCCGCCGTCTGGTACTCAATTCGTCCACCGCCGCAGTCTGTTATTCAATTCGTCCACCGCCGCAGTCTGTTATTCAATTCGTCGATCGCCGCAGTCTGTTATTCAATTCGTCCATCGCCGCAGTCTGTTAATTCAAGTCCACCGCCGCAGTCTGTTCATCGAAGTCCACCGCCGCAGTCTGTTGATTGAAGTCCATCGCCGCAGTCTGTTGATTGAAGTCCACCGCCGCAGTCAAATCAGATTGGTCAGTGTTGCATTGCATGTTTTTCGTTTTAGGTCAACTAACATTAACTTATTTATTTTTCAAAATTTACTTTATTTCTTTGCGTTACTTTGTGCTACTACTTTGTGATTCTTTGCGTTACTTTCTGTTACGATGCATTACTCATTTATAACATTATACTTGAACTTATAATTTCGCGATTTTTTAATGCTGCTGGTTTAATATGATTTTTTTAAAATGCTTATCTTCCACAATGAAGATATTTCAATTTTGAATTCTATTGAATAGCTCTTTATTATTAAATGCGATCTCAATTGATGTGTTTTAACCATTACTAGAAATGTGTTAATTAAACCAGCTTTTTAGGTACCAGAGCAAAAATTACACAATGATGATGTTGTAATCTTGATAATATCAAAATTGATCAACAAATTTTAGAGATCGATATTGTATACATCACAACGATTTAATTTTTTAAAGTAATATGTTTTAACATTATTTGCCACCAATGGATATTTGAAATTTTATTAAAGAATGGAACTTCCACTGGAATTCTACTGGAACTCAAAGAGAAATTCAGTTGATCATTTTCTTAATTTCATCGACTTTTAAATGGAAGCGAAAATTCATGTGAGTTTAACATGTGAAAAGTATTAATGTGATATATGATTTGGTCAATCCCGCTTATATCTCTTAGAAAATAATTTCTTTTGTTAATACATACAGATTAACAAACCAACACATCCAAATTTTTCATTGCGTTCTGAACTTAGTAAATAGTGATACTCGTATAATTTTAAAATTATAAGTCAAAAACTCCTTTGGCGTGTAATACATAAAACTGGATTATATGTTATTCAACGCCTTATTCTTCAGATGATTCTAACTTGCTACAATTGCTATATGTTCAGTAGGAACATTCTGCGATTGATGTATAATTATAGAAAATCAGGCACTCGTTGCACATTTTGGGCACAATTTTGTTGTTAAAGATAGAAAGAGTAACTCGACGTTCTGTTTGTAAATTATTTACAAACAAATCTAAAAGCACGAACACTTTTTCACCCACATTGTATTGGTAAATAACATATCTTCTTGAATCTCTTTAAATAAACATGATGAAACCCTTGGAATAGATAAGTTCCACTATATTTTTTAGTTGAAGTAGGCAATAGATGAGAACTCTTAGAATTGATTAGAATGTCTCACTACGCTCTTTGGTTGATATAGCCACTAGTTGAAAACCCTTAGAATTGATAAGAAATTCTCATTACGATCTTATGTTGATATAGCCACTAGATGAAAACCCTTAGGATTGATAAGAAAGTCTCACTAAATTTTTTGTTGATATAGCCACTATGTGTAAACCCTTAGAATTGATAAGAAAGTCTCACTACTTTCTTTGGTTGATATAGCCACTAAACGGAAACACTTATAATTGATAAAAAGGTCCCACTAAGGTTTTTCTTGCAATAGCCACCAGGTGTAAACCCTTATAATTGATAAGAAACTCTCACTACGTTCTTTGGTTGATACAGCCACTAAGTATAAACCCTTATAATTGATAAGAAAGTCTCACTACGTTCTTTGGTTGATACAGCCACTAAGTATAAACCCTTATAATTGATAAGAAAGTCTCACTACGTTCTTTGGTTGATGTAGCCACTAGATGTAGTAAGCCCTTAGAATTGATATGAAAGTCTCACTATACGTTCTTTGGTTGATGTAGCCACTAGATGTAGTAAGCCCTTAGAATCGATAAAAACAAATGGTCCCAATTTGAAACACAAAAGGCTTTTTGCTAACACATAATAACTTTCACTGCATTCAGTTATTGATAAGATGATGTTCTCGATAACGACAAAGAAAGACCTATATGCGTTTTTCCGAAAACCCTTTTCCTCAGCTAAAGTTATATTTTGTTATGGGGACCAAGGTATATTTGAGTAGAATTCTTTGCTCATCGCCGACACATATTTGATGACGCTAATTACCAACTTTGCTGTAATATATTTTCAAAATCTAACAAAGTTAAAGTAACAGAAAAAAATTACCAAGTTATAGTGATGGTTACTAATGTTTCAGTCAATAGAAATTTTGACAATATTAATGACATGCTCGGCCAAAAAAAATTTTTTTTTTTTGATAAGAAGACATACATCATACGTAAGCTTAAATCTTGGTATCAATTTGTACAATATTGTTTTGTAAAATATCTCGAAGAGATGCTGAATGGAAGAATTTGTCTCTTAAGTTAAATCACGTACAATTACATATATTTTGTTGATTTAATATGTTATATTTTTAACATTTCTATCAGTTAGTTGTTGGGTATAAAATTAATGAAAAGTCCTGGTTAAATGTGCATATACCATGGTGACAGGTTATTTCTTATTGTATTAAACTTGAAATGTTCAATTAAAATCTAAATATATTGCGTTAAATGTTGATGAGTTGACGTTGATTGTGTGTGATTTTTCATGAAAACTAACAAAATATTATATATTAAGTTGAAAGCTGATACAATTTAGATTATTGAAGTTTGTTTATTGTTGACACTAAGTTTTTTGTTCTTTTTATTCAAATAACCAGTAAAAATAAGTTGATAAGAAGTTAATATGGTTCCCTCTCGAATTATAATTATTGTTGTTTGTTGATAATACTAAGTCACATATGTACATATGTATGTATATATAAAATTGGTGTTTATTGATGAAAAATAATATTGATTGTGAGATTTCCATTAATAATCAAAAGTGTTGAAGTTGTGGAAAATAAAAAAAATATAATAGATTCTCTTCAATGTTGATGTGTGTTACTCAGGAATTTTCCAAAAAAAATATATATGTAGGTAACAGGAAAACCAGAAAAATAAATTGATTCAAAAAGAAACTGTTGCCGCTGTCAATCTCAATATAGAGTATAAGAAGATCATCATAATATGAATTGCTCATAAAAAATAAAAATGTATATATAGGAATGATAAAAGTTCATTCACCCTCTCTGCATATACAGGAATCATTCTTGCCTTGCTATCATCATGATGTTTCAAGATGTCTTTTTTTTTTTAAAACTATACAGTTACATATTTGTTTTAAAATGTTTTTGGTTCTTGTTTTCTTTTTTGTTTCTTACAGAAATTTTTTGAAAATAAAAATTGAATCTATGTAAGTATATACAAAAATATTGAAATATGAAATTAAGGCAGTGTCCTCTTTTTTTTTTTTTGACAATATTGTTAAATATAACGAAAATTATGGTTTTATATACAAATAGTTTCATATAATGAATTACATTTTTTTTATATAAGTGAATAATTATAATAAACAAAATTTTAATATAAAATAAGAGATATCAAAATTAACAATATAATTATGTAGATTAAGTACATAAGTAATAAAAATAATTCAATAATTATTGAAATTAAATAAATGAAAAATATATTTTTAGGTAACAAACATTGAAATATATAGCAAATTTTGTATTTATAGCAAAAATGTAAATATTTTTTAAAAAAATATTGAAAATACGAAAAATATTTTAATAAAAATCAATTCATTTAAAGGACTTATAAATAATAAAGATAAATTGAAAATACAAAAATGAAAAAAGGATGTAAAAACGAAAAGTATGTCAAGTATAACTTGATTTTTTTTTCTTTTTTTTTTTCTATTTTGTTCGTTTAATTTTTTTTATTTATTTTTTAATTTAATTTTTTCTCCAATTTTTTTTTATATTTTTTTTCAATTTTTTTTTTTTGATTTTTAACACTTTTTTTATTTTTTATATTTTTTTTTTATTCTTTATTCTTTTCTTCTTTTTTTTTTTATATTTTTTAAATATTTTTTTTTTATTTTTTTTTTTTGAACCATTAATATTTTTTTTTTAATTTTTAATTTATTTTTTTTTTTTCATATTTTTTCATACCACAAAAATTTTACAAAAATTAAATTCTTAATTTTATCTATGTAAGACAATTATTTATTTAAATTGAAATTATTTCAAATGATTATCTCTTACTTATACGACGGAAAAAATAAAAATTTATTACAAATTCTATTAAAGGACACTGCCCACAATTTTTAAGAATGGAATTTTAAACTTGTAAAAGAAAAACAAATAATGGAATTCAATATTCTTCTAAAAGCCATTCAGCTTTGCAAAAATGGCTTTAAAAATTTTTTTTACAAAAATCCGAATAATTACAATAATGTAAAGTATAGTTTTTTTTTTCTTTAAGAGTAACTAACATAGATAAAAAAAAAATATAAAATGGATTCGAATACATAATATAAGTACACCAAAAGAACAACATTATAAAATTACAATAATATTAATATACAACAAGTTCAAACAAAAAAAAAATATTTTGTCGAAGTATTTGACATAATTTGATAATATTTTCTTTGACACAATTTGATTGTTGTATGTTGAATGAAGTATTTCATTTGTTTTGCATTTTGCATTAATGATGATCGATATTTTTTATAATAAATATGTATAATACAAAGACTAGAGAAAAGAATTCGCCATTAAAATTAATAAATATTAATAATAATAATAATAATTGTAATCATAATAAAAAAAAATTCGCCAGTTATGTGAAAATATATAGCAGGATACTTAATTATATAATAAATTTTCTTTTCATATATATATTATTTATATAGCATTTGCAAGCATATGAATTATTCTTTTAATTTTGTTTATATTTTCTTGTATGTATTACAGTTGCTTAAATTCGTGATTTTGCTTTTTTCTTGATATTTGTTTCAATAAAGTGAGTATTAATTTTACATCAAAATTATATTTTTAGTGTGCAGATCTAATTATCTGTAATTTTAAGTTAATTATAAATTATGTATAAAAATGATTTTTTTTTATATTTTTCTATTCTACCATAGTAAAATTCATATATGTAAATAATATATACTATTTTCATTAATATTTGTAAAAAAAAATATTTCCTTTGGTTTATATTCAAAAAACAATTTTATAAAAATATATGATTAACTTTTTCAAATAAAATATTAAATAAAAATATAATTAAAGAGAAAAAATTAAGAAAATATGCAAAAAAAATAAATTGTATTTAATAAAAAGGAAACTAAAAGAAAAAAATATGAATTCATTTGTAATAATAAAATATTAAATATCATTAATAAAAATTGAATAAATGTAGAAAATAAATTTGAAATTTGGATTTCTTTTAATTAAAAAAATAGTTATTGTAATAAAATCATTAAATATTTATATATAATTAATATAAATTTAATAAAAAAACCACAAATTTCTGTAAAAAAAAACATTAAGAAAAAAGAAAACTAATAAACGAAAAAATATTGAAAATATTGTGTTAATGTTTAAGAAAATAAATTATTTGAAAATTTACGAAATGAAAACAAAAATCTAAAAAATATAGTATTATATAAAAGTATTACCAACACATCAAAATTAAATTAGTTACTATAACATTTTGCCAAAAAATAAATCAAATCCGTCCGGATTTTTCTTTTTTTTTCATGCTATAATTCATTTTTTTTTTTTCTAAAATTTTCATCTAAATATTATATAATAATGTGTAAAACAAATTTTTCTTTTAAAATATGTTAAATACGCTTTTTCCTCTCCAAATCAAATATTAAGAAATATGGAAAACAAAATATTAACAAAAAAACAAAAGCATTTCCTTTTTGTTTGTTGCAATTAACTTATATATGGATATATATATAAATATATATATATAGGTGAAAACAAAATAATTTGAATATACATTAAATAATATTATATAAGTATATAAAAATTGAAAATTTTGCACAAAAAACATTAACTTGAAGTATTAATTAATTCCATATAGTAGTTGTGTAGCTTATATGTTGTTTACATTGTAGTTGGTTGATATTATATTATATATATTGGTGAAGGTGGATATTTTTAATTGATGAAAAAACCATAAGTATAATTAAATTTATAATATAAAAAAGTTTAGCTTGACGCACATTGAAAATATTTTATGCTACTAATGTATATATATAAATTTTGATAAGCATAGTAGTAGTAGTAGTAGTAGTAAGTAGTATTGAAAAAATAATGATTTTTTTTTATATACTTTAGTTATATAGACTACATAGTAAAATTGTATAATATTATATAAGAATATAAAAATTCATATAGAGCTTACAAGTATAAACATTTTTGTAATTATTTGCTTAAAATTTGCTCTATATATATTTACGTACGTAAATATATGCAATATATAATGATTATTAATTTTAGTTATTTTTTTATATAATATTTAATTAATTATACAGATAATATTATTATATTGATTTAAAAATAATTTTCATTTTCAAAATAAATATGAGTAGAAAAACAAAAGAAATGAACATTCACTTTCAATTCAATCAAAAAAAAAAATATACACAAAAATTATATAACCTCACAAATAAACAGTATAGCATAATTATTTGCTTTCTAAATTATTTAATTAAGTATACGTAAATATTAGTGGTGTAATAAGATTTTTAATTTTCTTTACTCCCATATAACCAATTAATATATAGAATATTATGGTAATAATTATAATGGCGATTTAAATATTGATAAGTATTATAAAATTATTTTTTTTTTCATTTTTAAAATAAATTAAAAATAATTATAACTATAAAATGATTCCCAGATTATTAAAGATTTGTTTTATATAAGAATATTCTTTGTATAATAATTTATATATAATTGATAGCTTGAATAATTAAATTTTTATAACGCAGCAAACAATTTTTTTTATATTCAACCAGTGTCTTATATATTATTTACTATTAAAATATATAAATAAATATTATTACAACATTATTATTATAAAAAAATAATATTACAGAAACAAGAAAAGCAAGAGCATTTGTCGTATATGTATAACAAAACAAACTTTGTTAGATTTCACATTATTAGGTATAACTTCTTTTTTTTCTCTCTTGAAATTTTTCTATACATATTTTTTTTCATTTAATTTTCTCATATTTGAAATTTACACTGAATATAGAACCTTCTTCATATGAACATTTTGACAACATAATTAAATAAATAATAGGAAATCACGTAAATTAAATTAAATTAATAACTTAAAAACAAATTTAAGATGTACAATATTATATAGATAAATGTACATCTAATTTGAACATAATTATATATATATATATATATGGTAGAACTATTTCAACACAATTTTCTGGCTATATAATGATTCGAGATAATTTTTATCTCATCTATATAATTAAAGAAACAAAATATATTATAGACAAATCAAACTATTAAATTTTCCCATATTTTTTGAATTACTTATACATTTTGAATATTAATATATGTATTAAAACTTTTCATATATTGGACAAATGAAATTATTATATGTATAATATTTTATATATCACATTGACATTAATTAATTCACACATATGTAGAGGGGGTATTATTAATTTGATATAACTCTATATAATTAATAAGATATTTTGAATTAAAATAAATTGAACAAGAACTTTTATAAAATATCACACTTAACAATATTATTTTTTTAATTTATCAATTATTTTCTTTAAGGCTTTTGCAAATATAATAGAAACATTTTTAGCAGAATAAAATAATATAATTTTTATATATCATTATTAAGAAAGCACAATAAATCATTTGAATAAAAATTATTATGTATAGTATAAATCTTATATAAATAACAAATTAAAATATTAAGAAAATAAAATACAAAAGCACAATTATAAGTAATATTATAATAAAAAAACCCATTTTTTGAAAGAATTAAAATTTCATAATATAGAAATTATTTATATATTATAATAATAAATATACTTCTATATGGAGATTATTATTTCACAATATTAAATTAGTTGATAACTATATAATATTCATATTTATATTTTTATACTGATATTTTTATATTTATGAATATAAATTATATTTTTATAACCATAATAATTAAATTTGAAAATGCATTTAATAGCTTTTTGTGAACTTTTGCACCGTATTAATATAAAATATTAATTAAAAATAATATCACAAATTTTAAGAAAATGAATTGCATAATTTTTTTTAGTGATTTTTTGCTTTCTATATATTATATATATATAATTAAAAGTATATAGTAGAATTACAATAGAACTACATTTTTAAAAAAACAATAAATATAATATGTAAATTTATTATTAATCAGAGAAATTATGATTTTTATGTAAATATATTAAATTTTAATTTTTTTATTTTTGTTTAAACAAAATTAACTTGGAAACATACACAAAAATAGACCATATAATAAATATGTAGCTTTATATATATCTAGTGCTATTATACAAAATTATTAGGACGCTTTAAATTTTCATATTTTTTTTTTGTGAGAACTTTTTTATTATTTTAATTTTTTAAATGAACAATTATTATTTTTTGTATGAACAATATGAAATATATATACATTATGTATATATATACATATATATATAACCCACCAAAAAAAATGAAATAATTTGAAATTAAAATTTTGCACTACATTTTTTAAATTTTTCATTTATATATGAAAATTAGAATTAATTACTTAAAAAAATTATTTTTTTTTTAGTATGAAACATTTAAAAAAACAATATTTATATGAATAATAAATGCTATTAAAAATAATATATTAAATAAAAGAACCAAAAAAATATTTCTTTTTAACAAAATTTGAAATTACATTATATAAAATGGTATTAATTATTTATAAGTACAGACACTGGTTGCATTTCATTTTAATACACGTATAATATATAACTATTATATAATTTATATTAATTATATTTTAGAATTTTAGACTATGTATTATTTTAATAAAAATTAAACACACTTATAAAAAATATGCAATTTTCACCTATTTATATTAAGAAAACATTTTATAAAAATATTTGAAAATATTCAAATTAATTTTGCTATTGTGAATTAAAAATGCTTGTATAGGAAAACAAATTTATGTAAGTATAATTTACTAAAAAAGTGGAAACAAATTTTATCATAATAAAAAAAAACATCAAAAAATCTGAAAAGAAACAAAATTTCCAACGTTGTTGTAATTATAAAAGCAAAAAATTATACACTTACGAAACCCGATGAATTTTTCAAAATATTTAATTTTTGATGATTTTTTTTTTCATTAAAATTACAATTTGGATTCCCTTTTTTTTTGATTTTTTTTTTCAGATCATTTTTTTTTTTCTTTTAAATATGCTTGCCACACACTCTGCATTGATTCCCTTTTCTCATATTGAATTTGCTTAAAGATTTCATTTTTTTAAACAACACTTTCCAAAAAAAAAAAAAAAACGGAAAAGCAAATGCAAATTGAAAATAGAAAAAAACAACACAAAAAAATTGACTGGAAAATAAAAAAAAAAAAAATTTGGGCGAGAAATATTGTGAAAAATCAACTTACTAAATCAACTTTTATATAGCTCATCTCATGTTATGTATAACACTAAAAACATTATTACTTTTCTTTCAATCAAAAACTTTTATACAACATTTATGCATAATATTATTTTGCAGATGATTAAATTGTATCATTCGAATTCTTGCTGTGAATTTCTCTCATTGTGAATTACAAAAACAATATTAATAATATTAAAGTTGCAGTTGTTAAACTCGATCATTAATAATATACAATAAAAGTAGATTATAATCCAGCTTTGGCTATACAAATAAAATTAAATTTTAAATTTAAAGAATTTTTCAAAATTTACATAATCCCCATATTTCAGTGTTAAAACATTATTCATTTTTTTTTTCATATTTTACATGACCATCTTAAAATGAAGCAATTTTTTTTTGCTCTGTAATAATTATGTTTGTGATTCCGGAACAAAATCAATATTGGAAATATTAAAATGTGAAATTTCTGTAACAAAGATTTAAGAAAAAAAAAAAATAGAAACAAAAAAGATCTTCATCCTGAAAAATACAATTTTTTTGTTTGTTGTTTCATTGTATATATATATATATGTATATATAACGATATTCTTATAGTTGCAAAATTTTAAATCTGAATTTTTACTTATCACATAAATAATTTTGTTCTAAAAATGTAGATCATATTAATTTTTTTTCTCTTTCTCATCGATTCGTTTTCTTATTTCTAGCCGGCGGCAAATTAGAAGGAGAATAACAAATTTCCTAATTTTTCAATGTTGATTATATTATATTTGTGATGAAATTGAAGCTATCAAGTAGTAAACATATATTAAGTTTATTCATTAGCCGGATCTATGTAATAAATTTCTCTAAAATAAAATTAAAAGCTATTTTTACGGGAAAAAATCTTATAAAAAAATACATCTCCTTTATAATTAGTTAATTTAAAAAATTATATATAAGTATCAGCATTCTTTGGTTTTTAGTAGTATGTTGTTTCCCTTTACATTCTATATATATATATATGATAAAATATGTAAGCTCGTGCTTAAAAGTTGTTTTCAGAAAAAATAAACCAAGTAAAAATCTTTGAATTTTCTCAAAAATAAAAATATCAGCAACAATTAACAATAAATATGATGAAATAATTAAAAATAAATCTGCTTATATGTAATTGCCATTATTTGATGCACATTTTTGCAAAATCCAATTATATGCAAAAGCTACAATAAAAAAAACCATTCAATTGGAAAATATGTTTTTTTTTTTAGTATACATTTAAAAACAAAAGCAGCTCTGCTGCAAAAACAAAACTTTAAACATTAAAAACATTTAAAAATTTTCTGCAACCACCGTTCTCACAAACATTCGTTTTGATTTTTTTTTTCATATTTAAATACATATGTTCCGAAATTTTTTGATCTTCTCTTTTCTTAATATAAATTAATTCATTGAATTCCAAAAAAATAAATTATATTTTGACTTTGTTCAAAAATGCACTTAAAACAATAAAAAAAAAATTATTGATGATTTTAATATTTTTCCTATGTTCTGCAAATTTTTCAAATATGGGTATGTTTTCAAATATCCAAAACTGGTGTAAATATGTACAACTGCTATATAATAATTGTTATGTAAAAATTTTTATAAAAATAAATATAATTTTGTATCCAAATAATTCAACTATCTTAGTTATATATATTGCTGTTTTAAAGGGTTAACGAAATTTATATTAAGTTTGTATTAAAAAAAAAATAAATTCTTCTTAGAATACGTTCAAAAAATGATTTTAAATGAACTTACATCTCTGTTGGTTTATAAAAGAAAATTCTAAAATTCCTACATATATTGTTCATAATTAGGCTAGTTGTTTGCTTGTTTTGTTGCTGTTTGCTTGCTTGCTTGCTATTTATTAATTAATATTTTCATATTTTATATTCAATTTACTTGCTTATGAAGAATAGTTGAAACTGGCGAATTATATATAATATTTCTCTAAAGGTGATAAAACGTGTCTCTAGTCTATAAATATATGTTTTTCTCATGGCAAAAAGAACGAAATTAGATTTTCGAAGTGTTAAAAAAAAATTTATCCAATATTTACGAAAATAGTTATAAAAATTAAATAAAATTTGTATAAAAATATTTAGCATGCGAATTTCTTACAGTTTTCAATTTCAAAATTTGTAATACTGGGATGATGCAATTATTTACTGTATTTTACAAAATACACTTCAAATATGCAATTTGATGAATCAGGCTGCTAACACAAATATTTTTTTTGGATCAGTTACAGGCATTTTTTGTTTTTCAAGCATACATGCAGAATTACTAATTGCAAATAGAATTTACACTAATACAATTTCCTGAATAATATCCTGAACTTCGGTTTTTGATCTAGGAACCATATATTATGTTTAACTTTCTACATTTATGAAAATCACCAACTCCTAGCTAAAATATACTGTTAGCTTTTATATTATAGCAAAAAACTTACAACCCTGCAGTATTTCATATAAAATTTTTTGTGACAATTCAAGTTTTAATTCGTATATCAGCTTTCTAACACGATTAGTTTCATCAGAATGTCCTATAAAATAGATTAATAGGAAATAACAAGGTATTCTCTTACAGTTATTCGCTTAGTTTTCAATTTGATGTTTAAGATGGCTTTGTTTGTTTTATTTTCCTCGAGAAAATTTTATTCTAGAAAACTTTAGGAAACCATATATCCTTGTAAGTTGAATACATACATATGATTGTTTTATTTTGAAAAAAACCTAAAAAGGGTTGGTTAATGCAAAAAATATTTATGGCTTACGAGCGATATTGGTAAAAATTGGTAAAAATTAGTGTCCACGAATCCATATTCAAATTAAATCTTCTTAAAAATAAAAAAGTTCTTTTCTATAGGTAGCTAGGTACGTATTTTGATGTTAAAACGCATTACACCAGCGACAACATATCCTAAAATATACTATTAGTGGATAAAATATGTACTGCTTACATTCAAACGGTTTGGCTTAGGTACAGCATACGCATTAGAAATCATTAAAATACGGAACATTTCTTTGAAAGTCATTGACTGCTTTAAAAAACATCAGCGAACAGTGACTTGAAAACCTGAAATGTATTATTAGTGGAAAATATCTTAGATCTTACGATTGAATTTTGATTCATAGGTCATTTCGAGCCCGATCAGCAAATATGTATTTTAAAAATTTGAGATGCACTTTTGAAATCTCGATGGATGATAGTCTCGATTTTGGTAGATCTAATTGAAGATCATGCGTGTTCAACTCTCAGGAACTCGTGTTAAAAATGCCATTCAATAGTCTAGTTCCAGAGCTCGAAAAAGTGAATGTAAAACTAATGCCAATGAAAAAAGTTTGCTAATGCCACTTGTTGGTATATAACACAGCATTTTGAAGTTAAATTAAATAATTCTTTTTCGTTTTATAAAAACCCTAAAATATTTCGTTAGCGTTCTAAAATCGCATATTGAACTTACAAAATGTTCGTTTAAATGTCTGCTAACAAAAATGATGTCCAAAAACTCTCGTACGGTATAATCAGCAAAAGTAGTGTAATTCGTGAATAAACGACAAAGTAAATATTCCAATGAGCTTCTTCATAAAATAAATCGTACTGGAATCGTATTCTCATATAGCTTGATCTATCTCTCAAGTTTTCCATAACCCTTCTTAAGCTATTGATTTTAGTTTTTTACCTTGAAAATAAACACTACTGGCATGTTAAGCAAAAAATTCGGAATCCTATTATACGGATCCCGATAATTAACATAAATATATACACATATATAAAGATGGTAAGAATATTCAGGAAAATAAACAAGAAAATATTTTTCAAAAAAGTGTTAAATCTCACGTTAACAGCCACACGCAAATACATGCAGTTTTCTTGAAGAAATCATTTTTGAATGTTGAACGTACTGGAGACTTGTTTAAAACCATTAGATAGGTACCATGTTTCGAAAAACCGATGACAGATAAAGTATAATATACTGCATCATCAGCATAACCGCAATTTTCAACCAATAATCATACTAGCGATACTAACAAGCTGATCTTTTTAAAATTCCCTTGATAACATAAATGTCGCCCCTCAATTGCGAGTACAAGGTAAATTTCGACAAAAATCTGTAAAAATAAATCAATTCAGTCTTAACACTCCTTTCATATAGGAGCAAAAAAGTGTATAAGTTTTAAAAAAACAATTGTTAAGGTTTTTTGAAAAATCCTTTCAAAACACTTCATCGGATCCGAAAATTCAACTAGTCAGCAATACATTAACGACCGTTCTCTACGATTTTTGTGCAAACCACAGTCCATTCTGGTCCTTAACAAGCTTCTGTCGAAAGATCACCTTTCAGCATTTCCTTGTTAACTACTCTGGATTATTAGGAAAGTGTAGCACTTCTTAATCGTAGCATTATCGAAAATGTAAAACATGTCAAGTTAACCAGTGTTAGTTGTACATTCTAGATTCATGGAAAATGCATCATTCGATGAACAACTTCTTTGGTTATTATATAAGATAAGAAAATGTCCATATTCCTAGGCGCGATCTATCACTAAATTATCAGTCACAAACTCTTCTTTTCAACCATTTGAAGAAGTTCCCTTTCTTTTCAAATTTGGATGAACTCTTATTAACCTTACTTATGGAAATATACATATTTTCTATAAATTATCTTGAAGTGGCTGTGTTGTGTAGATTTTGAATTAAATATGATAAGTGAATGTGCGCTGTAAAATAGAAATTTTATTTAATTAAAAAAAAAAGCTATAAATAAAAGAAAATTATGAGGGTATAAAGAACAATAAGTACAATTTAAATGTTTACTTTTTAAAATAATTAAATATTTATTTTGTCAAATTTTTTTTTGTTTTTTTTTAAATATACAATATTTTATTTTTTTTATTGTTAAAAACAGTTCAATATGAACTAAATGAATTTGAAAATTTAAAATATATTAACCACTAAATATTAAAAATTTATTGAGCAGCTAAAACAAATTTAATTTTCAGATTTTTTACTAATTCGAAATTTTTCAAAAAATCTTAATAGGTTTTAAAAAATAATAAAAAGATAAAATGTTATGTTGATTGCCCGTTAATTAAAAAAATCCAATATAATGTAATATATACACATACATACATTTCGGTATTACGCGTATACGAGTAGCAAATTAACACGTATAGCTATAGCTAAGTATGTATATAAAACCTTCATTATTATCGATTAATCACTTTTAAAGCTGAATGGGAAATAACATATCGTAATATCTAACTTATTATGAACACAAACCAATAGCGTTTGATTTGTGTCTGTAATAAAAAAAAATTACGATATAATCATTTAAGTCTTATTAGTGGTAGTGATGAATCTTTCGAATGTAAGTAAAAGTATAGTATGTGTATGCGCTTTGGAAAAAAAAAAGAGATAAGTAACGAGAAATTCTAGAAATTTCTACAAAATCTATAAATGCAAAATATCATATACGTACGTATGTATGTACATAAATATTTTAACAAACATGAAAATAAATTTCAAGGGGAATTTTTTTTTTGTATACTCTATGTGGCTTTATATAATTTAATTGACCTGAAAATTAAACATTGTTTTAAAGCTGCAAAATAAATATTAATTAATTCATTAATATATTAATATAATGTAATATCAACAATATTTTAATTGTACTTAGCTATTTTCATATCATTCTGATTATTTATAAAGATTTCAAAATAAGTTACACATATGTATGGAATATATGAATTTAACGAACATTTTTACTGATTCTGACGACACTGCCAAGCTCTTAAGTAAGCCCGGGTCCGGTCGAGAAAGAGGTCATCATTCTTCTTCACACATTATTTTTTTAATTAGTGATTTGTAACTGTAAATGAAAATTTGTCATAATAACGAATATATCACAATAATATAAAAAAATTATTCAACTAAATTTCTAACAATTTCTATAAAATATAAATTAAATTTTCTTTTCTTTTACAAAATGTACGTATATAAAAATTTAATTTCCTTTTTTTTAATTACAAAAATTTCTTAACAAAAAAAAAGAAGTTGGTAGGTAATACAATCAATTAATCTTTTTCATTTAAATTAGAATAGAAAAGTCTTTGCTAATAATTTTAATAATTTTTTTTTCTAATTAATAACGCTACATGCACTGCTCATATTTTTCATAAATTGATCTAATCCACTTAATTCCGATTTCCATAAATCGTTAATGTTATCACGATGCTGCTGCTGTAGTATATCATCTTCACAATTTATACTACTATTAATATTATTGCTATTTTGTTGATTATTATAATATGAATATGATTGCATTTCTTTAGCACAAGAAGAATTATTATAATTATAATATATATTATTTATATTATTATTAGTGCTATTCATATTATTATAATTATAATAACCAAGTCTTGACTGCATTTCAGCCCATTTATTAAATCTTTCTTGTTGCTTAAGTTTTAATTCTTTTTCAGCATTATTAAGTGCTGTTGTTAGCATGGCACAAACGCGTAAATTACTGCCATGACGGTATTTTCTTTTCATTTGAATTTTTTTTAAACGAAAATTTTTTACCCAATCACATAGAGTTTGGGGCTTGTCAGCAGAAATTAATGAATCATCAAGAAAAGCAGCCATTTTGAAATTAATTTTTTTTATATACTCGTTTTATTTCCTTTTAAAATTTTTACGAAATGTAGAATTGTATGAAATAATTATTTAATTTATATATATATTTTAATTGCGACTACTTTTTAATTTCTTCCTTTTTTGAAAATTAAAATAAGAACTAAATTTCTCAGCTTTTTCTTTCTTAATTATTTTATAAATATAGAATTTTAATAAATATCTATATTTAAATTAATTTCTTTTTTACAGTAAAACACACCTGTATTGCAATTATACCGTCTCTTTTTTTTTTTTTATTTTAAATTACTTTTAATTAATTCACTGTCTATTTTAAATTTTATATTTCAAATATTATTCACCAATATTACATAACTTTATACAAATAACTTTTATATTTTCAATTATATTGGTCTTAATTGCAAGACAATTCCAAACGATTAGAATGAAAACCTTTTCTCAACTGTGAATATTCACTCAGCTACAGCGTTATTTATAACAATATCCCCACCACTTGTATGTATTCATACGCGTTAATATAGAAAGTAGCACTATTTGTAAATTCATATATTTTTTGTTCAGGATTCAGTATAAGGACGAATTTCTGTATATAAAGGATAAAATTATGATTGTGTTTGTAGAATATTATATATTTTTAAATTTAAATATAAAAATAAAAGGATATTTCCTTTAGCGTAGCATATTCAAATAAAAGGTAAGTTTTTTTTATTGTAATAAATATTGTTTTTGTAGTAGTTTTCCATTTATTTTATATTATATTATATTGAAAGCAATAAAAACAAATACATAAAGCCATTTATTTTAGCTTCTGCATCATATGCATGAACAATACACTACATATATTATTCAAGTACATAATTATATATAAAATTAATAAGATTCTCAACTGTTTCTTTATATAGAATATACGAGATGATATTAGTAATCGTAAAAATATGTGCAAAAAAATATGGATTGAAATATAGAGAAAAAATCATCACAGAAAATTTTTCATATTGCAAGTTCTAGAATTTTCTTCTAAAAAATCGATTTTTAAATGTACATGCTTGCATACATACATACATATTTACCTAATTTGAATCATTACATAATTGTAAGATGTTGTTTTGCATTTTGCATATCCTACTTTTTTAATTTTACATTAATGTAATAAAAAATCCTAAATCACAAAAAGTTAATAATTGAAAAATTAATGAAAGATACTAAAAATTGTAATGAACAATATTGAAAGATACTTGTAAATTGAAATATTAATTTCATTTTCAAAAAAACAGAAAATTAAAATTACAACAAAAGATGCGATTAACAAAATTCTTTACCATACTAATTTTTATCCCTACAATCCAATCTATTTCCCCAAACTAACAATACTTAGGATTTTAATTATAAATTATTTTGAGAGCTAATAATTTTCAGTTTTATACGTGATTATAATCTTATTATCTAGTCTTGCAACGAAAAATTAGCAATTATACTTAATTTTGTACCTAATTAAGGAATGTCTTTATAAAATCTTATTATTTAATGTTTTAATTTCAATTTATTCATTTTTTGAATTTTTGATTAAAATTTTTATCTAAAATAATTGTGGAATACAAAAATAAATCCTGATTAATTTTTTTTTTGTATATTTTTTATTGCTTTAAAAAGAGCCTATTTCTTGTTAAATTTATTAATAACATAATTAAGAAACATTTTACATTATTATAAACTTCCATATAAGTACATAATAGATTTGTAATATTAATATGTACACAAACAGTAAATTTTCAATAAATTTTTTAAAATTATTAGTTTTTCTAAAATTTAAGTATTTTTAAGCATTTTAAATAAATATGTATGGTTTTTTCGTTAAAGATATTAAAGTCTATTTCACATTTAGTTTACAAGAAGTTCAAAATCGTGTGACAAAATTTGTATGAATCCATAGTGAGTGTACCCAAAGAACATTTTTAATGATATAATATTAACATTGTAATTTTTCCATAAATCATTATTATTGATAAAAGCAAAAAGGGGGCAAAAACATGTACATTTACTAAAATCGAAGCCAAAATGAGCACTCAATACATTTTCAAATCAACAAATTCGGTTCGATTCTAAAACTTTTACACCCTTTATAGATAGAAAAGTGAAATTTTATTATATACAAGTGGATTTTTTCAAAAAATCTTACATCTCTAGATTTATTTTGTATATTTGTATCTTCTCTATAAAATTTATGGCTTCCTAAAGTCCTAAAAATTTAATTTTTTTACAATTTACACTATTGAATTCCACAATCGCAAAAAAATAGCGAATAACTTCTTCTAAAGCAAAATACTATAGGCACACATTGTAATGACGAAATTTCTCTTGAACCTAAAAGTTTTTTCAAGCAGTTTAATTTTTGTTTTAAGGGCTATTATTTTAACTATTTCCAGAAAAATAGTTCATTTTATCCGAACAAAATTATTTTCCGCTTCCCTCTCCATCCAACATCTTAAAATAATCCAAATTTCACCTCGTTGTTTTTCTTAAACTATACCTTTCTGAAACTATTTTTCTAACGTAACCAACAAAAACCATCTTCTTATCAAAAACGTCTTCCCTTTTAAAAAATTTAGTGAAATTTACATATTTGTCTTAACTCAATTATCGTCGAATTTGATTATTATGTTAACACTAGTGTAGTTATTTATGTTTACACTGTTGTTTAATATTTCATCCTAACCATATGCAATAATTATTTCTTTTTAAACAATATCAGTTCATTTTAATTTATCCATACATACATACACACATACATACATGTATATTATGAGATATTTCATCAATGAAATTATTATTTAAACAAAAGATAACTTTAAATATTTTTCAATTATTATATTGTATATCTTACAAACCTTTGGTTTGATGCGAATTTATGTACAATCTCTTATCTTAACATCATTATTACATTTTAAACCTTAATTACTTTTCAGTATTATTTATCCCATTAATTTAATTATTATTGCATACTTATTTTATTATTTTAAAATTTAGTAGCAAATTTAAGTACGCATAATATTTAAATCGTGAGTATGATTTTCTAATTTTATTTTACTAAAAATTAAAACTATACACACAGCTGATATATGTAATCAAAATTTGCACATTTCAGAAAATCAAAATTTAAAGTTTTAGAGTTGGAAAAATGACGTGTTACATAAATATTTATTTTTGCATAAATAAATCAGAAATCGAATTTTTTTGAGTTATATCACTGTTGAACCAACAGAGCATTATAATCTACCTACCAAATAACTTTAGTTCACCAAACGTTGTAAAATACTTTATTTTACAATAGCGTGCCGTCAAACTTCTTTGTCACTAATTACAAGGTTGTTTTTTTATTATTGAATGTTGATTATAAAATATAATTTTGTATATCGAGTATATACCCACCAAAAGCATACCTCGACCTATAAATATTTAAATACCCAAATATGTAGTCATCACATAATGTATTTGTATATTTATCTTTAAAACTATTCTACGGTCTCAATTAATTTTTCCTTTCAAATATTGTATGTATTTATATTTTATAATTTAACCATCGCAAAATCGTTACTCATTTTGTTTTTGTCAGAAAAATATTTGTATAGGTTGCAGATAATTAAAAAAAAAATGTAGGAAAACAAAATATATAACGTAAAAATAAAATTTTAAATATGAGGCAAGAAAAATGTGAAGAAAACTGTATAAACGTATATACATATGTATGTACATATATAATATGTGCTAACGTATTTAGGTAAATATATTTATGTATATCTACATACATACGTATGTTTATTAAAGAGATGATGCAGAGTGGAAAAAATAAAGAAGACAAAAAAAAATACACAAAGTCAAAATAAAGAAAACAACATTTTTAACGTATTTTTTAGCTTTTATTTCATGAAATGTGAAATCAACTTAATAAAAAAAAATTTTGAAATCAAGGTCAGCAAAAAAAAAGCCCTAATATTTTCCAATTCTCATCCATGCACGTACCTTACCTGCTTCTATATGTATATACTTACATACTTAACGATTCTAAATAAAAAGTTCCCATGTTTTATTAATTTCATTTAAAAAAAATTTTATTTATTTCTTTGAATAAAATAAAATAATATCAAAAATAAATTTTCCAACCCTCTGCATATAATGTCATAACACTTACATACATATACAATATATATTGTAAGATGGCATCCATATGTAGGGTTGGAATTTATTTATAAAGTACTGTGTACATCATCTGCTTTACACGAAATTAATTTATGCATATAATTTGTATAATAATTTAAAAAAATATTATTTAAATATGTTATACATAATTCATGTATGTATGTATGTATGTAGGTAGATGCATTTCAAATTTAAACACTTATAATTTAAAAATTTTGTAAAAAAATTTACATTATTACTATAAGATGAAATTATGTCAGCATAAAGTCTGTTGGTTTTACATGATTAAATATATTTAAACAATTATGTGTGCGTATATATTAGGATATACATATAAAAAATTCGTAAATCCTAAGCTCAGTCCTAATCGTAGAATTATTTTATTTTGTTAAGTATGTATATCTTGTATAGGCACATATTTACATATAAGTACGTAGCATAAAGCTATACTTTGATTTACAATAGTACAAAAGTGTGTCGCTAATCTGGATGTTGAACGAACATAATTGTCTGCTCAAATTAATAATATAATTGAAATATATGTATGTAGATATGTAATATTGAAAATTCTAGAAACATATACACAATTTAATTTTTTAATACGCCATTTGTTTTTTTTTTTTTATAATAAATACAAAGGCAGAAAAATATTGTATACATGCAATGTATAATTCAACACCATAGTTTATTCATAATTAAATTTAATTATTATAATTTCAATATTTAATATTCGATACTATTATATAGGTACCTAAGATAACTTGTACAAACACATACATACATAGGATGTATATTATTTTTTTAATAATTATATCACTTGATTTTTCTTTAAGAAAGAAAACAATATTATTAATCTAAATTAATTTATTATCTTTCATATATTGTACTATATACCAACAATATACTATAATATAATTAAATATATGCCAAGTACATAATATGATATCTTCTCTTTTTAGTGTAAATAACGATAGTATAAAAGTTAAGTATAATACTTTCCTTTCTCATTGAATTTTATTTAATTTTTTCTTGAAGTGCGCGATTTAAAATTATTATTGTATTAAATACTAATACTATAATAATTTTCCGCAGTATATTTAATATATATTATATATACACCATATATGTATTAAATTTAAGTATATGGTTTAGAAAATAATAAAATAAATAAAAATTTAAATTATGTAGCGTAGTGAATAAATTTTCAGTTTTTGTATGTATATGAATATATTTCATACGTGTGCGTGCGCACGTTTATGAAAAACAATAATAATTTTTGTAATTAACAATAATTTATCTAAAAGTATAAAAGTAAGTATAACATAATATGAAATTGCATAAATATAGACATATGTATATATGTTTGTTAAAATTTAAAACCAGAAAGGGTGAAATCGAAAGATTTTTAAGCTACTAAAAATATATGTATACCTGCCTATTATGTATGTATTTTTTTCCAAATTAATAAGAAGTTGGAATACAGGCATACACACTTATAGAGGTAAGTACACATTTTTCTTTCTACCTAAAATTTTAATATCGAACAATGAACAGATGCAAAATGGTGAAAAAAACTTAAAAGAAGAAACACATATTTATAGCTGCATATGCTTCATAGACATACATACATATGTATATGTATATATGTATGTATTCAAAAATATTATAAAATAATTTACTTACCTACATATGTAGGTACATGTCTAAAATTTAGATTGAAATATTTGTCAAGCGCAATCATTATGTAGGCACTCATATAACATGCAAACAAATATATCTGCATTAATATACGTTACATACATATACTTCACATATATACATACGTTATATAAATATGTACATACGTATAATATTTTTAACGGCTCATTTTAAAGGTAAGCAAGATCTATATACGAGTATTATACCTAAGGTACTCTTCAAGTACAAAGCCTGAAAAAAAAATCATGCACCCAAATTACTCAAGTACATATTGATATACATACCTACATAAAGCCATACATACATAAGTACATATGTATATTAAATTGCAACCCATTTCTTATGCATAATACATGTAATTTTTCAAATAGTTCCTTGGGAATTTTCTTGAAAGGGCTATTTTACAATATTTTTTGGTATAGAAAAAGGGTAAGAGTATTTTTTTTTTAATTATTTCAATTGCTTTTACATATAATATTATATATAAGATGTACATACATACATCCACATCGATTTACTTAAATATACAGAAAAAAAATTTGTTAACGCGCATGATTCAGTTCAATGGCTTTAACTTCCTAAAAAAACCAATGTTATTTATAATATATAGAGTTACCGCTATAAAGCATAATATAGATATACAAAATGTGAATAACGATTAAAGCCACAATATCATTGTGTTCATTTCTTTTGTATAAATATATTTTTCAAACAAAGAAATCAGCTTACACACATTCAAACTTTTTAATATTCTGCATATTGTTTCATATTATATTATACTGTATTATACGATGACCATATGCTTATAATTTTTTTTAAAGGACTGGAAGTACCTAATTGAGTTTATGTAAAAACTCAATTTTTTTAACTTCCTAAAAGTTATTCCTGTCATCTCCGTTCTTTTAGGTAAATTTTCTTTTAATATATGAAAATAATGAGAAACTTATACAATAAACTACATAATTCATTATTTTTGTTAATTTTAGAAAAAACTATTTAAAATTTATTTAATTTTCTAAGGCTGAACTTTAATTTTCTAAGGCTTCGGTAAACTATAGTAGAAACTATAAAATAAACACTTTTTACTTGAAACTATGTTCCTAAAATTGTTCTCATTAAAACACAAAAATATTATTTTAAGAAATATAAAACTTTTGCATTTCGGAGAAAAAAACAGAAATATGAAAGAACCTTAAAAAAAATTTTTGAATTCGGCGATTATAATTAAGTTAAGATAGTATATTTATTGTTGGCAAGGCAATTACCGTTCGCTCTTTGCATTTATAGAAATTAAGCAAAACCTACAGTCTGGGATATATAAGGTCTCAAAATTTAACTAATTTTGGGAAGTGATAACTTGGATAGGGAGGGAAGTGGAAAAAAGTTTCAATCTAACGAACTATTTATTAAAAATAAATAACAAATAGTACTTCATTCTCAATTTTATTAAGCTCAAAAGCTATTAAAATTTTAAACTCTTACAGCTTATTGTCTAAGAGAAAAATTATATTTTCCTACGGGGAATTTTCATAAATGCAGCATATCCATAAACATAATGTCCATAAACAGTGTTACTTCCAGTTTCTTCGTAAATATTGCTGAACTTCTGCAATAAAGCTAAATTAGTACAAGCAGCGCAGTTAAGTCATAAAAACTATTTTGATTTTATAAAATAGTTAAAAATATTAACATATATTGCACATTCATCACATTATATTTTTGCAGTATGCAATGCGTTTATGAATATCTCTACTATTTTTTGAAACAATCTTCTTTAAAAATTTTAAAATATTCTCAAATATGTATATATGTACATATTATGATATAATATTATGTCAGAATGATATTATGTAACAAATAACAATTTTAATAAAACTAATAAAATAACATACTTTTAGGATGACCCCAAAAATTTAAAAGGACCGTAAATTCGCAACCCTGAACCGTGGAAATCAAAGAATGTAAGTATGTAATTACATTTTTAAATTTCTTCAATTTATTTATATGTAATTTTATAAAAAAAAAATTTTTAAATATTAACTAATTCAAAAAATTTAAATGTAATTCAAAAAAACTCTATTTAGTTTCTCTAAATATTTTTGAGTAAATTATTCAATAAAAAGGTTTTTTTAAACAAAATTATGGAATATTATTTGGTATTTGATTAGTTACATGAAAATTATTTTGTTTATAACAAGTCCTTTGTACAAAATTTTGAATGTTAAATTAGTTCTTTTTCTGAAATTTATAAAAGATATTAATCTTGCTTTGACATATTAAAGCTTGACAATAATTTTGAATTGAAAAGAAAGACCCAATATTAAAAATAGAATGTTATAACTTAATTAAGAAAAAATATTCTAAATCGTTTTAACTCATCTGGTATCTACATAATGTAGCATAACTTTAATATGTTTCTATACGGTAAAAATAAGTGAACGTAACGTACCTATAACGAAATCAGAATGTGACGTCTTTTTTTTTTTGAGGTCATAAAATTATTATGCATGTGTACATTATATTGTATTACCAACACATACAAGTATTTATTTAATAATGTTTAATACAAATGTACGTCTCCTTTAAAAAATTATATTCATACAGACAGATACTTCTATTTCTAGCAAAATGTTACACTCTTACATATGTAAATATATTATAATATTTAAAAAAAATTAAGAAGAAACTCTATTTTACCTACTGCGGAAATCTCTAGAAAATTACAAATAATTATAACGTAATTACGTATTTTATGTATACATAAAATATCTATAGATATGTGAATATATAATGTATTACAAGCGATTTCTCTAATATATGCATGTGTATGTATGTATTAGGGAAATCACTTAAAATCAGTACTTAAAATAACAAAACTAAAACAAATTTCTTTTTTTTTAATGAAAATTAATAATAGATTTTTATTATTTTTACCTTTTCTTTTGTAAGGTAAAACAATATTTTGGAAATATGTAAATTTTTCAAGCAAAATAGAATATCTACATGTTTCGACATGCTTAAAACATGTTACGATATTGCTAAATTTAAATATTTAACATTTTACAGTAATTATGCATGTGTGTGCTTATTATAATTATGTTCCATATATACATACATAGATAAAAAACAATTTTTTAATCATTAATAAAAACATTATGATTGGATTCATGTGTGTACACCTGCTTCTTTAAATTTCATTTGATGAGCGTAGAAAAGGTATAGAATAGATGGCGCATATTATATTATGTCAGTTTAAATACTTTAAATAGATACTTCCATACGTAAGTAAAGCATGCATAACATAGGTTTGAATATTTATGGTTACACGACGTATTTTGCATTAATGCTTGACATATGTAGGTTTTGTCAACAAGCTTTTTTGTATAATAAATAACCTGATAATTTATGGTACCGACCCTTTAACCGAAGTGTCTTGGGTTCAAACCCCCGGTCAAGTTACTATAAAAATTATATTCAATATTATATTACTTAATATACAATACTAATATACATATGTATATTATACAAGTAATTCGATATTAAAAACTAAGAAAAATAAACAATAATATTAATGAACTTAAATATTTATTATAAATAAAACTACCTAATGCTAATACTCGTATATTTTATTACATATCTAATTTAAATCGTTAGTGCAAGCTTATAGCATCTTAAATCTTCATTTTGATCTTGTCATTCTTCAACAAGTGCCACTTCCAAATCTCCTGTTTTATATAAGTCTTGCATAAATTCTTTTAACTAAAGTAGCATTCACGGCGTTATTGACCAGATCATTAAAGAACTTAAGCTGCCAAGTGCATTTCATACCGTATTTGAGTTGCTACCCGTTGTTGATGATTTGATGTATTCGAAACATATGTATGTACGAGAAAAAAATATATTACTGTTTGTGCAGTAATACTGTATTATTACACAATGAAATTTATAAAAACAAATTATTGATACAATATTAGTGTAGTGCAGATGTCAGGTTCAGGAATGTTGTTATATCTGAACACGTTTATATTTAAACATTTAAGCTAATTTTTTAGCTACTGAGTCAAAAATTTAAAAATTCTAAAAGATAAGTGAAAACAAACCATAAGGAATTTTAAACGGCAGCACCATTTTGAAGACATTACAGTTGTCAAAGTCGTTTCTTAATGTACCCAAAAAAAAAAATACAAAAAAACACAAGAAAAAAAACTGAAAAAGCCTCCACTTTTTGTTGAATAAAAATAATATCTGCGGCTAGTGTCTAGATATTTTTTTTTGTATTACATAAAACTATAATTAGTAAAGCATGCATTTTTAATATATATGTCAGATTGTTTGGCGTTTTCCAAATATAATTCCCGTTGAAAAATTAAATGAAATAATTTCAAATTTACTATTATGAAGGCACCGGCAGCCCCAACTATTATTGAAGAAATCGATTTAATTGATTCCGGTGACGATGATTGTGGTAGTTTGGCCAGCAGTTCAACGGCTAATACATCTAGAAGTGCAACTCCAACTAACCGTAGTAGAAAACTTAAAAAACGAAAAGCTTCTTCAAAAGTAGTAAAACCACCGTATAAGTATTCGTTTCATTTGAAGGAAGATCATAATCAGCCAATTTTTGGAGCCCAATTTCATCATGGTATTAAAAATAAAAATATTTTCGCCTCAGTTGGTTCCAATCGTATTTCGGTGTACGAGTGTTTACCTAATGGACAAATTACTTTATTGCAATCATATTCCGATCCCGACACAGATGAAATTTATTATACTTGTGCGTGGTCCACGGAACCAGATGAAAGTAAAACCAGTCGTCCTATATTAGCAGCAGGTGGATTACGAGGTGTTATCAGAGTATTTTGCTTAAAAATGCAAACTTGTACTAAACATTTTATTGGTCATGGACATGCAATAAATGAATTAAAGTTCCATCCAAAGTTAGCACATATTCTTTTATCTGGTAGTAAAGATCATTCTTTACGTTTGTGGAATATTAAGACTGGAATATGTGTAGCTATTTTCGGTGGTGTTGAGGGCCACCGAGATGAAGTGCTTGGTGCCGACTTTGATTTGAAAGGTGGGAAAATTATATCTTGCGGAATGGATCATTCGTTGAAATTGTGGAGATTAGATAAACCAGGAATTAAAGAAGCAATAACAAATAGTTCTAATATTGACTATACGAAAAATTACGGACTTTTTCCAACGATTAAAGAACATTTTCCTGATTTTTCAACCCGAGATATTCATCGCAATTATGTTGATTGTGTTTTCTGGCTGGGAGATTACATATTGTCAAAATCATGTGAAAACTCTATTGTTTGCTGGAAGATTGGTAGTAATATGGAAGAAACGGAAGTAAAACCGAAAGATAACAGAACCACAATTATACACAGATTTAATTTTAAAGAATGTGACATATGGTTTGTTCGTTTTGGTATGGATTATTGGCGTCGTATAATGGCTTTGGGCTCACAAAATGGTAAAGTTTTTATATGGGAATTAGACCCCACTGATGTGAATTTAACAAAATGTAGCACATTGAGTCATCAGAAATGTACCTCAACTATTCGACAAACTGCCTTTTCAAGGGATGCTCAAATTTTAATTTGTATATGTGATGACGGTAGCATATGGAGATGGGACAAAGTTTTGTGAATTGTAACTTGTATTCTAAGTTTTATATTTTTTTTATAATTCAAATATACATATTCTGCATCAGATCATTTAAATTATCAATGTTGTCTTGTAAATTTTCATTATTCCCACTTTTTGGTTACATCAATATATTCGCCATCCGGTGAATCATAATTGTCTATAGGTGGAGTTGCTACTGGTCCAGTAAAAGAGAAAGGAACTAAGGATAAATCTGGTTTGATTGCCTCTTGGTATAGTTCTTCAGATTCCTTTCTTAGCTCTTCTAAGGCAAATTCTTGCATTTCATGGAGGGAATCTATAAATTTAAAATCAGATACTCTAGTCTCAAGTTTATAACGTGCCCATTTTTTTTCTAATAAAATTCGTCTATCTTTTTCTTCTTCAGTTATCGGATTTATAATTCGTGCCCTCATTCTAAAACAAGAAAGCTTTTATTGCACAGATTTTTATTAATTTAAAGGTACTTACTTTTTCTCATCCAATAACTCGAGAGGGACTTCCAGTTCATCAACAGGCTTTAATTGCCTTGCATTCCTTTCTAGTCTTCGAATTTGTTTCTCAAGTTTTTTCTTTTTTCGCTCTTCCCGCTGCTTTATAATCATAGGATCTAGCTTCTTTTTCTTTTTTAAAGGCTCAGCCATAAGAACCGAGGTCACTTGTAGAAAATTATAATTTGTTGTACAAATGTGCCTGACATTTTTCGCTATCACCATTGAATTTAACCTTAAAGTGCATCAATATATGAGTGATTATTTATTCATTTATTTAACAACCTCGCAGAATAACTTTTTTTACCTCGTCAATAAACTTAACATGTTTGTTTATAATTTCTAAACTAAAAAAATTATGTTCTGAACTTTATTATGATCATTAATTTACTTATATTGCAATATCAAAACATATGTTTTGCGACATTATACTTCCAGTTTTGTTATACAGACATTATACTTCCACTTTGAAGATTTTTTTCAGATCAACACTATCGTTTTATGAAAAAAGTAGTAGAATTTCAGAACAGTAGAAATGGTAGAATATAATAATTCATTAATGCAGAATAGAGAATACGATCTGAGTTGTGGATCTTTTCAACAATCAAAGAGAGTTCAGGTACGCTCTGTGTGCTTGACAAAATTTTCAGATTTTACAGAGCTCATAATTTGTTACACTATTTTGACACTTTTGACAAATTTCAAAAAATATCATACAGAATAAGGTCTGTTGTGTTCGTTGATTATAAGCTTTTTTTGTCTGATCTTCAGTGTAGTCTGAAAACGTTGAATCTAATCGGATTAAGCTTCTATACCAGTTTTGAGGAAGTTATTATATACTGGTAACATAATATATCTACATCAAAATATTTTAAACCTATTCATTTCCACAGTTTCTGTTTTTGATAGCTTAGTATTATAAACTTGTAACATATGAATGAAAAAAAAAATTCGATCTATAACGAAAAATATAGAACGTCTTGCCATCAATTTTCATCAAACAAAATCGATCGATTGGAAATGTTTGATGGTTAAAGAGTTCAGTTCCAAAAGAATTTTTAGTTTTACAATTGATTGATCGATTATTTTTATTTCATTATATTATATTAAGGCAAACACACATGCCACTTTAAGTTGACGCAATCAGTTTGTTTTAACGCAATAATTTAGTTGCTTATAATATCAAAACTAAAAATTTCAAATATCCGGAGACGCATATGCTTTCTTATAATTATCAAAGTTGAAGCCGAAGTATATACATACAAAATATTTACCTACATATTTTATTGTTGTTTTTGTCTCTTTGAATTTTATTTCATTAGATTCAAAAATAAAACTAAAGCAAGCCGAAATAATTACATCTTTATAAACTTGTAGGCTCCTTTGCCGTTACCTTGTAATTCATTAATTCATTCTAAAATGAGTTTTTTTAACAAATCTATAAACTCTTTGACATTAACTACGAATAGAAGAAAAAGTATGTGAGAATGAGTGAGTTGCAAGAGGAGTCTTTTGATACATAATATTAGACAATCAAGAGATTTGCCAGTCAACCTTTTAAAACTGAAAAGTCATACGACGTTAGGTCGCGGCTTTTGTAAAATATTTTTTACGAATTTTCCTGAATTCTTTTGAGATTTATACCTATTATAAAATGTATTTTTATTTATTATAAAATTATTAAAAATAGCTTGTGTAAGAAAAGTAAATATGCTTTCAAGGAAAAAAGACAAATCACGGGATGGAGTAGTAGGACGTTTTACTAAGAAAGAGACACCATCCGAAATTCCAAGTCAGAAAGCAAAAAAGAAAATCAATATTTTATTTGCTTATACTTTTTTTTTTTAGTTACGAATGTTTGGACGTTTGATGATAGTAAAAATAAAGGGAAAAATCGTCGTAATAGTCAAACATTGGGACCCAAAAGTGATAAAGGGGAAACAAATCAGAGTAAACCCCAATTTGGAAATATTAAAACTTTATCAAAATCAACTGGTTTGGGGCATGTGGGGAAATATACACCAAATCAATCAATACAAAATTTGAATATTTCAAGTTTTAATGGTGGTGGTGGAATTAGAGCTAGTGGCCGCTCAGTATCACCTAATAATCAAATAACTGGAGTGGGGAATGTTAATTTAACAAATGAGTTAGATTTTTATCAACAACAATCTCAAAGATCTAATTCTCAACCCTCAAGTACTGGTTCAAATCAATTACATCCATATAGTAATATAGGGAATAGTAACTACGTTAATATCGATCATATTGATCGAATGAGACATCAAAGCGATTCTTCAGGATATAATTCATATGCACAATCAATTGATAATTTCAGTAGAAATTATTCTTTTAATCAAAATCATGCTCATACCTTTTTAACAACGAGTGGAGGCGGTTGTCCCACTAACAGTCCTGGCGATCAATTCGGTAATAAGTTAGGAGCAATAAAGAACGTTCAAAATATATCACCAAGATCACAATCACCTCAAGGATTATCGCAGTTAACAATGGTGATTTATACAAGAGGCTTTGATATCTATGAATGTTGTTTAAATATTTGAAACTACATTTTTTTTACAGGCCACTGCCAAAAACTATAACTCTGAAAATTCTCCAATTTATGAAAACCAGTCACAAGTTTCCGTTACTGGTGCTACTGGCAGATCAGAATCTCCTATTTATAGTAACACTAATTCAAGTTTATTAACGCCATATCAAAATGTTTCTAGCAATTCAAGGTTCAAGTAAAATTTTTAAAAATATATTTTAATGTAATATATATTTAATTTTTAGATATGCAACTCAAACTACACATCAAACACTTTACCCGAATAACAATTCAGTTTTAAGTTATCAACATTTAGGACAAAATCTTGCTTTAGTTCCTACAAAAATCCCAGTTTACCAACCAATTAGAAATTACGAAGCGGTTGGGATGACTTTTGGAGAACATTTAGTTCATAATGCAACCCATCAAATATTACCTCACGGTAAGAATCAAGTTTTTAAAATTTTCTAAAGAATTTAATATCGTTGTTAATTTCAGTCCCCTCGCAGCAATCCCTTGACGAAGAATTACCTTTACCACCAGGATGGGCAGCGTATTACACATTACGCGGCCGCAAGTATTATATTGACCATAACGCTCAAACGACACATTGGTCTCATCCTTTAGAAAGAGAGGGATTACCAATAGGTTGGGTTAAAATTCATAGCGCACAGCACGGGATATATTATTATAAGTAAGAACTTTTAAGTAAGAAGTAATTAGGTGTAAAAAATAACTTGTTTTATTTAGTCATATCACACGGCAATCTCAACGAAATCATCCTTGTTTGACATCGTGTTATGTATATACAACTTCTGCGGAACCACCTAAATCAATTTTACCAGAGCCGCAACTATCACAGTATAACGCCCATAACGCCTTAGTACCAGCAAATCCCTATTTACATGAGCAAATTCCAGATTGGTTAAACGTGTATTTTCATGGTAACATTCAAAAGAAAAAATATTAATTAAATACTTTATAGATCACTTCTTTATATTTTAGCTGATTCTTCAAAAGATCATATTTTGAAATTTAAAATGTTTAGTCTTCAAGAACTAGAATGTTTCGATGCGATGTTAACAAGATTGTATAAAAAACAACTGGAACGTATTGTAGGATTTTATGAACAATATAGGTAAATACATACTACATATTTAAGTCACGTATTTGGAATTTTTTTAACGATGTAACGCCATTTTAGACAATATTTAAAGACGGAAATTGATCGTCGAACTATTATGGCACGAGCTATCAAAAATGATTGAGATTAAACTTAAAATATACCTGATTAAAGATAATCAATTGGTGTGATTAACATTATATTAATCGTTATTTAAAATATAAAATGCAAAATATTTTCATTAAAATTTGGAATTTATGACATCAAAATCTACGAAAAACAAAAGAACCATTCTTTTAAAATGTCTTAAGACTTAAATATCTTGCCTTTTAATTTTAATATAAAAATTTATTTTACCATTTCATTTTATATAAACTAGTTAAATATTCGGTATGTCGAAAATTGAAAAAATTATATATATATATATATATATTTACATTTTAGATTTGTTTTTTAATTAAGTTATTATGTATATTTAATATGAAAATTTATACATGCACGTAAGAGTATTTTCCGAACTGAATTACATCGCATTAATCATATTTTATTAAATACGATATTAAAAAAGTAATAATTATTTAACATCATACCAACATTTTTACTATTCTTTATTTTGTATTATATTTAATAAATGTGATAGTTTCCCCATTTTAAGATTAAGAAATAATATTGTATATTAATATTACATTATATGTAAAGTGCCTATATAAATTTTGAAAAATCAAAACACATACTTATAATAATGAATTTAATAAACTTATATTTAAAATCAAACTATATTTTAATTACTATAACACTACAAATCCAAAAATGTTAAATTTACTTTTTTGTTGAGTTATCGATTTGAACTTCATCTATCTTTTCAAAACCAGATATTCGGATAACTTTCGCTTTATTAACATTAAACATTTTGCTATAATGTTCCGCTAAAATTATTAAGTTAAAAATTTTTACAAAAAACTTAAGCAATTCTTTTTACCTGGTGTCATCCTCAAATCTTCTTCTGATTTTATTCCATGGTATTTAGCCCAATCTCCTTTTCCTTTATATAACATATAGCAAACTAAACCAAAAGCCTGCCATGCAATTATAGCATAACCGAAACCTGTTTGAAAATATATATTTCCAAATTAACTCCATAATTTCAAATTATTTTTTAGTATTTACTTAATCTACGCTTCCATGTGGAGGCAGTGTCGAATGGTATAGGATTAGTATTTTTTCGTACAAGCTTCCGAAGCCATTTCATCTGAAATAAAGTCATTCTTCGAAAATATTTACAATTACTCAATCGACTAATGCGACGACTAAATAAAGAATTTTATTTGTTTACACCATCAGCTGATATGTGCAATTTTGACATTTCTTTCCGATACAGTTTAAAAGTCATAGGTATGTTCGTTCAAACACTTTTCTAAGCTAGAGTTTTGAAATTTGAAAGATAAAATAGGAAAATTATAAAAAAATTTAACTAATTTATTTTGGGTATAATGGCTTTCTCACTTGAATCATAAGTGGGGGACACTGATAAATATTTCAAATATTATATTTGGAATCAAAATACATGTACATATTAAAAAATATCTATAATAAGTATATTCAGTTAAAAAAATATAAGTTTTTTTGCTCAACTTACCAAAATTTACAACAAATTTCCAAAGTTTCAAGTAATATATGGTAATACGATTTCTCCACGTAAGAAAGAGTCAAAGTATTGTAACCAATCCAAAGAAGTTCTTATGTCTAGGTAATCAAAATTACCGACATAATTCAAAAAACTTACCTCTGATTCTACAGCAGGAGCTAAAAAAACCATAAGTCAAAAATATCCCAAAAAGCCCTATCCTTAACTACACCCTACTGTTTGAGCGTGAGTGAGAGGTTGGGCTTTTCAACTGTTTTTGTTCCATGATCTTTGTCAAAAAGCAAGAACTGCCTTAATGAATCATGCCTATCCGACTTCTGGTTTTCAAGATATAGAGCTTTATAATAGAATCTTAAATTTGTTTTCGTTTTCATACATCTAACAAAATCCGAATTTTTATTGCTGCTAACAAAATTACAAGCCTCACATCAGGAATAATATTCCCCACAAGTTATTTGCTATTAAAAAAATTACTTTACTATATTAAAAATCCTGTTAAAGATATTGGTTAAACATTTTTAAATGGTATTTTTTAGGATTTTCATATGATGGTGTGTATAAAGATTAAGTATATTTTGCCACTTTATAATACTTTACTAATACAATGATACGATCGGTAAAAATGTTTCACTCCTACATAGGAGCACTGATACCCGATGTAAACATGCTGATATGATCTTCATCACAAAAAAGTTTGAAAGTCTTTAGCAAACTCTCAAAACTTTGACATTAGATAAAAAATAAAAAAATTTGCAAATTTTGGAAAACCGATTTCTTTTTTGTTGAGAATTTTTTTGTTTATTATTATTTTGGCACATGAATATAAGTAGAAGTATTAAAAACTCATTCGGAAACTTATTGATTGACTCAGAAACTGTACAGGAAGGAAATATTTCGGAAAACACTCCTTTAATGGATGGTCATATCGAAAGAAATATTGGCGAATCAGGTTCCGTGCCTGCGGATAGGCTTGGTAGAAAACGGCGATCTCAAAAAGAAAGTCAAAGTAGTTCAAACTATGGAGTAAGTTAAAAAAACCTAAGTCTGTTAATTTTGACACAAGAAAGTTAAATTTATTACTTTTATTTTTGTTTATATTACTCTTGTAAATTCAATGTAAATGTTAGGCTACATCAAATACATCATCGAATCGAGAGGAAGCAGATATAAATACTAATAATATTAGATTAAGAGCTAGTACAAATAATCCTAACAATCCAATTCGTGAAAATATAGCCGGACCAAGTGCACCAGGTGATAGCAGTAATAGAAATCAACAAGAAGAGGAAGCAGAAGGTTTGAAGTATGGAGCACATCATGTTATAAAATTGTTTACCCCAGTTTCATTATGTATTCTGGTCGTTGTAATTACCATAACAAATATTCCATTTTATACTCAAAAAGATGTTTATCTGTAAGAAAATTTAATTCCAAAACCTTTTATAAATATATTTAATATATTGTAATTTTATTTATGTAAGACTGTATACGCCATTTCACGAGCAGTCAACTAACTATGGAACCAAATTTTGGAATGCAGCGGCAAACTCTTTGATTTTAATAACAGTAATAGTAATTATGACGGTATTACTTATTGTTCTCTACAAAAAAAGGTGTTATAAAACAATTCATGGTTGGTTAATACTATCTTCATTTATGTTACTGTTCATTTTCACATTTATGTATTTAGAGTAAGTATGAATATTATTTGTTTATTTTAGTATTAAAAATAAATTATTATTATTAGGGTGGTCTTAAAGGCTTTTAATATTCCTATTGATTACCCAACAACAATCTTGATACTATGGAATTTCGGCGTTGTGGGAATGATTTCTATTCATTGGTTAGGTCCGTTGAGGTTGCAGCAGGCATACCTGATTTTTGTAGCAGCCTTGATGGCGTTAGTATTTATTAAGTACTTGCCCGAATGGACAACCTGGGCTGTATTAGCTGTTATTTCAATATGGGGTATATTTAATTTACAACCATAATGTTATATAATAAAGCTAAATATCTACTATATTTTTAGATCTAATAGCTGTTTTATCACCTAAAGGTCCTTTGAGAATTTTAGTTGAAACGGCCCAAGAAAGAAATGAACAAATTTTTCCAGCTCTTATATATTCGTGTACGCTTAAACTTAACGAATTTAATATTTTAAATAATAGCATATCTCTTTATTTTTACAGCAACTGTTCTTTACTTTTACATGGGTACACATCTCACAGAGAACGAGAGTAGTACGGAAGCACGACCAAGTGTTAACGCCAATACCTCAAACAGAGTAGTAGAAAATCATGTTTCAAATCGTAATGATGCTGAAGGTACGCCACTTGTGAATTTTTGTTATCAGTTAAATGGTACTTAACATTTTTTATACTTAAATTATTTGAGTAAGAAATTTTATGATGCTTCGCTTTTTGCACAACATCTAGTAAGTGTTTATAACCAATATGTTTTGGTTAAAATCATAAGGTTATAGCTCAAATTAATGTCGCTTACATAAACGAAATTGTGTTGTTTACATAATACATAATAATATTGCTCAACAAAACATAGCTTTGTAGATATTGCCGGAAAAAAAACTAAATATATTAATAATTTTAGTGGTATTTAATTGTAACATTGTAAATAAAAAAAAATACATTTTTTTTAGAAACTGATGCTGGGTTTACGCAAGAATGGGCTTCAACAGCAAATGAGCGAATTAATAGGAGGCAGGTTGAAGTACAAGCTAATGATTCTGGCAATCCAAATCGATCAGTTGAATATCGTACTATAACTCGAGAAACGAATAATGTTAATCAACCAGAGCAAGAAGAAGAAAGTAAAATTCACATAAAATATTTTAAATATTATTAAATACATTTGCAATTTGCTTTTAGGAGGTATAAAATTAGGGCTCGGTGATTTCATATTTTACTCTGTATTAGTTGGGAAGGCCTCAAGTTATGGAGATTGGAATACAACAATTGCGTGTTTTGTAGGAATACTTATTGGTTTGTGTTTGACATTACTCCTATTAGCAATATGCAGAAAAGCATTACCAGCACTGCCAATTTCTATTACATTTGGATTAATATTTTATTTTTCTACGAGTGCAGTTGTACAACCGTTTATGGATAAGTTAGCAGCAGAGCAAATATTTATATAATTTTATAATTTAAGTTTAATTTTTTTTTTAAATTATATCTTATATTAATAGAAGAGTAGATAGATTTTTATTAAAATACTTATTATATATGTATGTATTAACATACATACATATATCAAAAAATTAAATAACATTTAAATGAAATAGCAATTAATTAATATCAAACATGCTTTAAGTAAATTGAAATTAAATATATTTAAATAAAATATAGACACTTTAAATTTTTATTTTTAATTGACGCTGATTTTTTTAATTTAAAAATTTGAAGAACTAACCATATGAAGCAATAACTATTAAAATTTAACATCAATTATTTTTTTATAAAAAAAAATAAATATTATCATTCCTTATTAAAAATTTTATTTCTAAATTATTTAATCCTGTAAAGTGAATAAAATTAAAGCTAAATAATCAAGACATACTTAATAAAAACATGTAGTTTCTTTTGTTTCCGTTGTTTTGGCAAATGATTACAGTACTCTAATTAAAACTAGCTTAAAAGAGAGAGGTTTACTTTTTTATGGTAACTTACAGAAACTTGTAGGAATCTTAAATCTGCCTTTTATAGATCAATTATACAATACAATGAAGTTACTAAATTACTTCTTATTTTTATTATTCACAATATATTATATAATACATTAATATAAATACATTTAATGGACATAAACCTGGGAGTACCGCAAGGATTAATCTTTAATATACTGCTATTTAGTTTATACATAAATTAAATTTATAAAACAGTTGAATATTCAAAATTAGTACTATTGCAGTATATGTAATCAGTGATGACGTTAACACGATTGTGAAAAAAGGTTAAATTATGATACAAATAAATTAAGTCAAAATTAAATATTGCGAAAACTAAAGCTATGTTGATTATAGAAAAAGTTTAATTAGTAATAAATGACGAAAAAATTGAAATAGTTTACCAAAATAAATATTTAGGAAGTTGACAAAAAACTTAAATTCGGTGAGCAAATTCACTATATTTGGAAATTATATCTTATTATAATAAATTATTTCAAAATGACTAGAAAAAGACTGACAATCTCAAATGCTATGCATATATCACCTCGAGTACAGTTAATCTGTTCTTCTTGTAGTTACAAAACAAATGAAGAACAGATATCGAAAAATGCAAAAAAAAGCGATGCGGAAAATATTACAGTTAAATATTAATACGTCAATTAACTTCTTACTAGAAACTCTTAATTTGTTAACTTTGGAACAAAAAATTAAAAAAAAAATTAGCCATTATTGTTTTAAAATCAAGAAAAAAATGCATCCAAAGTATTTATATGAAAAAATAATTTATGCGGCGGAACAACGACAACATTAGCCCGAATCTTTTACAAAGCAGTAATGCGTAGAAAATGTTAATGGTTCTAAATGTATAATGATCTCCCAACGAATTTGAAGCAGATAAAGATTAAATGAATTTAAAAGAAAAATTATATTGTAAATTAACAACAATAATAATGTGGTTAACTATTAATTTTCTAAAATTTTTATAAAATAAACTAATTTTCTTTTTAAACTCTACCATTTTATAAATACTAAGTTGAATTTTTTACAATTTTTCTAATATGTACATGTATAATTTTATTATTAATAATGCAGTTGTTATTAATAACCAGTTATGTTATGTATATAAACAATTAAATAAATAAAATTATGTGTAAACTCTAAATATTTTCCTCAAAAATATCCCGAAAACTTCATAGTTTCCTTAATATATAATATATTTAAAATAATATAGGTATATAAATATATAAGTATATATTTAATAAATATAGATGTACATACTTATAATTACCGATCAATGAATGAAAAGCTTTATATTTATTAAATTTAAGAAAAATTAATATACACGTGCCAGTACTATAAATAGATTGGTACAATTATATAATAAACTCTTATATTTAGATGTTCCGTAAAAAATTTCGCGAAAAAAAACTTTCTTTTCTGTTACGGAAATCTAGTCTATCGATCGATCTCAACCCGATAACTTGCAACTGAAACAATTTGAAATTATTATTGTAATAAAATCTTATAGAACTTTTTTTTAATATATAATAATAACGTAGTAACGATAATTTAAATTAATTAACATTATATTTGTGGTTTATATACAAATATAGTTTGTACGTATAATAATGTATGTACTTTTCATGTACACAAATAAATATTTAGTAAAATCGTGTAAATTAACAGTGTAACAAAACATGGATAAAGTGATCATAAATTTTGCGATTTTATAACAAAAAAATAAATAAATATTAAAATAAATAATTTAAACTTTGCAAAAAAGGGAAAAATGATTAACGCCATTTTATAGATTACAACTTAGATAAAAATAACGGTGATACAATTTTAAAAAAATATTTAATTTTCTATTGTGTTTACTTAAGTGAATTTGTAATGAGATTTTTTTTTTATATATACAAATTAATATTTTAAAATAAATTAAAATAAAAAATGTTGTTTTTTAAATTAGACTTAAATTTCTTCAATATAACCGAAAAAATTATATTGAATTATATAAATAGACTTACCAAAAATTTTTTGTATTTTAAATTTTTTTATTATTAAAATAAAAAAAATCCTTTTAATTCTTTTAAAGTACATAATTTAAATATCGAAAAACAAGAAATTAAATAACATTTTTTAAAAATAGATAAATTTATGCTTTTTGTTTACAACACAAGAAAAAACAACAAGCTGATCGTATTATAAACAAAGTGTTATAATAATATATGCATATATTGAAATAATAATTGAAATCAATAATAGTGTTATACTTATACATACGAGTACATATATATATATAATTATGTATATCTTTTATACAATATAATATTATTAACATTACATTAAGAACACTTAATGTGAAGCACGAGACATGAAAAAAATACACAAAAAATTAAAGTAGGAACAATTTTCATTTTCTTAACCCAGTCATACACAAAAAGCTCCTCCCTGGAAAAATAAAACCTTTAATACGTGATAAAACAATAAATTTATTTATATTTAATTTACTATTTAAATAAATAAAATCCAATACCGTTTTACAGTGAATTCAAATCATTCAATTTAAATTTTTTAAAAGTATTGTAATAATTCAATGCTATTCATCGCTGTTTTATAATTCACATTTACAGAATGATCGTGTATCTCACTTTTTTACTCATTTTTTATTCACTTTCAAATCAGAATTTTCGGCTTTTCTAATGGATTTTTTATTATTCCAATAAAATTACTAATTTTTTTAATTGGATTTTTGCATTTTTTCTCAAATTATCGACTGATTGTTTCCCTTTCAAAATGTGAAATATGAAAAACTTTTTTATATAATTTAAAAATAAAACGAGATACGCAATCGGAATAATTTTTCTCACTCGAAAATTACATTATACAAGTACGAGTACATAATTGTTACTCACTTTCCGAGAAAAATAGCGGGATTATTATTTTTAATGTCATCATTAAAAAATGAGATTTAAAAATAGTTGCCATTGTGCATTGTAATTTCATATGGAAAAATTCGGCGTCAACATTGAAAAAAACAGAATGATCAGCAACACTGTCTACCATTCATTCATTTTTTTTTTGGCCAAAGTTAGATTGGCGAAGGACGATAAACTTTATCGTCCTGTGTCGATAATTAGCAAAGAACCAGAAACTTTATAAAGTTTTTAAAAATTTTTAACAGCTTTCTTATACCAGACGGATTTTATTTGTCTTTGACTCTTTTTTCCTTTCATTCAAATTTTTATGAGAATGATGATAAGGACCTCAGTTTTGATAAAGCCTATGTATATGCACACGGATTCCATATACACACATTCATATATGAAGGGTTTATATACAGCACCAGTAAAGTATGTTTTCTTTAAATTGCATACACTTTTTTCTTTTAATGTATTAAAAGAAATAGAAAATCATTATATTTCGAAAAAAATACAAATATAACTTCAATAAAATTTTTTTTTTATCGCATTTAATTCAGAAAAATTTTAATTCTGCTATGAATTTTATATTTAATTAAAGATTTACCGCCTGTACAACATTTAATATATTACATATTTTACGTGAATGTATAAATAGCTTTGTGGTGCCAAGGACGACCGCTCTGCCACTTTGAGCCGTCTAGATTTGAAGTTATTATTGGCAGGTGTACTGACTGAACACTGTCTCTCCAATGTTCATTGAAAAGGATCGGTATAGCGGACAGCGAAATGTGCCGTTTTTTGCCTAAAATAGGACGAACATCTTTCGTGCTTCCTCTTCTGGCCAAAAAAAAAAATTTCAAAAAAAAAATACATATATAAATAAAGACCTTTTAATCAATATCACAACTTTTTACCTTTTCCAATTTAGTTAAATTTGCATTATTTAATAATATAACTTTAATTTATTTATGTATATAGTGAAATATTGAGGATAAACGACAATGAATTTCTATAATTAATGTGTGATAGGAGATTTAAAAATTTCTACATATACATACTTTTTTCTGGTACTTATTAATTCACTAAATGTTTTAAATGCGAAATCTTATATGATTCATATGATATTGTAAAAACAAAAAAAAAAATAAATTTAAAAAAATTTTTTTGGGAATTTTGCATCACTGAAGATTGTTATATTTGGAGTTTAATAACAAAAAAAAAGAACAGAAAACGAAAATTAAACAAATTCCAAATATATCGACATCAAATTCATAAACATATTAAGGCCAACAACGCAAATAAATAAATTCCCTAACTATATAATTTGTTTGTATTACCAATATTGTACCTAAGTATTAAGAATTGAGCAAATAGCCTTCGTGGCCAGTACTTTATTGTACTGATTTTAATTTTTATATTGTAATTAATCTTTATAAATTAATAATTAAAAATTAAAAAAGAAATTTTATATATGAACATACATACATACACATTTTTGCTTGGATCATACATAATACGTATGTACATACATACATACATAAATGTAATTAATCTAGTGCAGATCTTAAAGTTTAATATAATTTTTTTTAAAGTTGTACTGAAGTACTTAAGTTGTTAATATTAAATTAAAAATGAACATGGAAAATATTGGATTTTCTCTGGTAAGTACTTTACATTTTAATATTTTTATGCATGGAATTTATTGTTATAAAAAAGAATCAAATAAAAATTGAATTATTGAAAATTATGATATTCTCTTACATTATGGTAATTAGTTGTTAAAAATATATTCTTACGTACTCAAGTAGATATGTTCATACATAATATTTTACCTTTCAACATATTCTCTTACATAAATTTTTGAATTTTGTACCGCAAAATCTAAATATTTTCCATATTAGTTTAAATAAATTCAAAACTAATTACATATTTAATTATAAGTACTTACAAGCAGCAATATATACATTTTTGGAATGCATATCGATGCTTCCATTAATAGTTATCCTAAGTCAGCTTAGACTATTTTAGTGTTACCAAGTACAAAACTACTTCAACCGTAAATCCGTTGAAATCAGTTGAAAAACGGAAAATCAGTTCTACTTTTTGTAGTTGGAATATCTCAGAATTATTTTAAAAATTACCATGCAAAACTATGCATGGAACTATGGATAACTTAAAACGTATCCGTTTTCGGTATGGACATACGTATATACATATATATGTATTTATATACATATTTTTTAATCAAAAGTATTTTATATTTCTCTCTCAATATTTTGTTCACAAATTTTTATTTCTAAAATTACATTAGCATGGGGGGTGGCATGACTCTGCCGATCTATATGATAAAGGAAGTATTTCAAGTGAAGATTCCAGTGAAGGTGTATGTAATGAAGAGTTTCATCAGTTTTTTCATCGGCATCAAAGAAGCCATATAATATGGGATCCTAAAGAAATTGAATTTAATTTAAAAGAATCGCCAAATGGAAGTGAAATTTTAAGAATTTTAACGATTGGATGTTTAGATGGTAAAAATATTTTTTTTTTGTTTTTTGAAGATTAATAAAATAATTTTTAACATTTAAAATTATAATAGATTTAAAACCAGGATCCATTGAAGTGAATTTAGCTTTACTATTTTCGTGTTGGTATAAATGCACGGATAATGCGATAAGTTTACTAGAAAATTTTTCTCCAAATCCAAATTGTACTGATTCTAGGGGCAGGACTCCTTTACATTTTGCATGTAGTAATGGAGACGCAATTATAGCAAAAACTTTGTTAGATCATGGAGCTGAACCAAATTGTTGGGATAAACAAAATAAAGGGACCCCATTGCATTGTGCTGCAAGGTTGGTTTTTTTTTTGTGTTATTCATTAATTTGGTTTTAAGATAAACATAATTCGTTGTATTTCATAGTGCCGGTAGTGTTGAGTGTATATTATTATTATTGAAACGGAAAGCATCTATTAATGTTGGAATTGAGAAAAGAACTGCTTTACATTTTGCGATAGATAAAAATGCCGTTGATTGTGTAGAAACTTTATTAAAATACGGAGCAGATCCAAACACGCCACAGGTAATTTACTTTTCTGCTACACATCTTTCGTATTGTTATAATATATAAAGTCACTAAAGAAATTTAGTGTTGCGGAATTTAGTGTTTAGAAAATACAGTTGCGGATAAAAAAAGATGTACATTTATGTAAAATAATTTTTTTTGAATGAATGAATGCGAACACAATTTTCATTCAGTTAATAATATGCAAATCTATTCAAAAACCAAAAATTTTAGTTATCTTCAACTTATTTTAAAAAGTAAAAACAACTTATATAAATCAAATAAGTATGTTGGGATGGGAAGCCCTTTCAATAATTTTAGACATTTTATTTAGCAGATCATAAAGCACCCAGTTGCGAAAGTTTTGGTTTGTTATCATTGTTAAAACAAAATAGCATTTTTATTGATCAAAAGTTGAATTTTCAAAAAAAAAATCTATTTTGCTACATAAAAACCTCTTTTAGGCAATTTCACGTACTACTACAATTTTACACAAAATTTTTCAGGACCCCAAAACTTCACAAGGCGATTAAGTTTGCTAAACTTTAATGTGTACATATTTTAATTTTATATGCATGTTCATATATGTACATACTTGTATACATAAAACAATTTAATTAACCTATTTGATAAAGAAGACCTATATAATGTATGTACAATTTTTAAATAAGTTTGAGTAATTAAAAAATACTCAAAAACAACAATTTCTTAAATACTCTGTAAAGTAGTATACTATGCATGTGTAAAAAATGCTAGAAATGTTGGGTGTTTATTTGATTAATCTTATAAAAAATTTTCACACTTATTTTTCATTTAAGGTTTTCACAGAAACACCATTGCATACTGCATGTGCCTTGGGTCATACCGAATGTGCTAGATTATTATTAAATTATGGAGCAGATGTAAGATCTAGATATGGAAAAAGAAAACTTACGGCACTCCATTTGGCTGCTGAAGATGATTATGTAGACTGTGTTAAAATTCTGTTAGATAAGGGAGCACAGGTTGATGCAAGAAATGCTGATGATCAAACGCCATTACATTTAGCTTGTCTTTCACAATGTGTTGAAACTGTAGAAATATTAATAAAATTTGGTGCGGATGTTAATGCAGTTTACAAGGATGGAAGAACCGCACTTCATGCAGCAATTGTAAAACAAACTAGATGCCTAGAATGTGTAAATAAATTAATTCAAGCTGGTGCTGAAGTTAATAAATCGGATAACTATGGATATACTCCTTTACACATAGCAGCTTTAAATGAGTTTAGTAATTGTGTTCAATTATTAATAGGTGAGTTTGCATTAACGGTTTTTATGTATTTTTTTTCTACTGAATTTGAAATGAAAAATAATGTTGATTACTTTATTCATTAATAATTATTATTAGCAACTCATTTAGCTCAAGCAATTTTGTTGAAGTTATTGCACTTTTTAAGTTTTGAAAGATTTTTACATATTATGTATCTACATATATGTATGGTAAAGATCGGAGACCGGATCGATCCTGTTGTCATTCCATTAATTTATTTCTTTCATTTCATTGAAATCTGCTGAAGAAAAAAAATACGTGCTGAAAAACGATGGATTGAATCTTTTAACTTTTTTGTAGTTAAGGGCAAACGTTAAAAAACATTTGATATTTTTAGTTGTTATTTAAATTTACCGTGGACAATACAAAGTGCGAAAGAATTTTTACATTACACGACATTTTGAAAAATATTAACAAGAAGAATTTTTTAGCTTACTTGCTCTCAAATACCATCAAATGTAAGACCACAACAAAGCAACAAAAGTTGGTAACACCAATAACGTACTAAGGATCCTTTTTAACGGATAGATGACAGGCATTGTTTAGACGATTTTTCTCTATACAAGACTAGTGACTTCAATTTCGAGTTCAAGAATGAGATATTGTTGAGTTCAACAGAAATGAAATCATAAGTTTCTAACTTGAGGACTTCTAAAAGTAATAATAGTTTGCAACAGTTTATGGACTTAGGTTTTCAGGTATTGAATCATTGAAGCAGGATATGAGTGCACTTGAGAATGATGAAGGAAAGCTTTGTATAAAAATTGCGGCAAGCCTTGACATCTCTTTTGATACATATATGTAGGTATAATCAGACCAGCATCAGCTTCAATACAAGGGCTGCTTGGTGTCAAATTAGTATTTCTATGAGTTATGAATAATTCCTGGGTGGAATAATTCCTACAGTGACTACATTGGCAGCTATTTTTTTTTTTATTAATTAAAGTTTCGGAACACATGTCAAAATTCTTGTAGAATATATAAATGAGATTGCTCGCTAATGGAGCGAAATTACCGCTGTGAACCCAGCCGACAACTGTAAAATAACCCATAATCCTATTTTATCGCTGGCGGATTTTTTTTGACATAATATTGAACTGTTGATTTCGCTGTTGTTCTGGATTAACAACGAATATCGTCCGCCGTTTCTGGTCATTGCTTAATTTTGTTTTTAACACTAGTGTCGGTGACCTTATTATATTACATTTTGTGTTTCGTATGGTGTATTTTACACGAGTTCAGAAGAATTCGCCGGAAATTTAATATTTGACAGCTGTGTGTTCACACATAACAGATTTTAATTTTTTAAGTGCATGTCTCTGTTTAATTTTATTTGAAAAAGGCAAATTGTTTGACGTAAGAAAATATGAAGGCCTCAATATTTTAAAAATTATGAAAATGCAGCAAGGATATGAGAAGAAGAAAATATAAGTCATTATGATTTCATTTATATATTTATATAGTTTACTATTCATTTATATATTTATATAGTATATATTCGAGTGTAGCCGTAATCATGTAAATTAAGTCTTCAATGCAATTATTTCAAAATAATTAATGATTTAATAATGCACATAAAAGTAGTGGAAGTCCTTAGCTTCTCAGAGGCTTGTATATAACTTGGCATTGCACAGTGAAATTTCGAGATTCCATTTCAATATCAATCTCTTTTTTTACTATTAAAAACATTTTATTAGAATTTTGAGTTTCGATAAATAATTTTTGTTTTCAATTTTTGTAACAAAAGTCAAATGAAGTGAACTAGTCTTAAAATTTTTAAAATATTTTTCTGGTGTAATTTTTGTTGCTTGTATTGTAGTTGCACAAAATGTTGGCAGCTCTGAAATTATTGAAGTTGCTTTAAAATGACAGTCTGAGTTGTTTAAAAAGCGGTTTTTCGAAAGATGGAATTTTTAAAAACATTGTTTAAATTTTGATAATATTAATTAACATAAAATACAATTCATAAAAGTTATAATTGATAAAAGGTTCAATGGCTGAATATAAAAAAATTAATCAAGAATTAGCGGTTCGAAATAGTGATTTAAGATTAACGATCGCAGAATTGAACAGAGAAATAGTGTTTTTAAACGAAATTATAGTTCAATTGAAAAGTGAAAATGCTAGCATTAAAGATTCTGTTAAAAAGATATTAGCAAACTCTTATTGCAAAATACTGACCGAAGTATGTGGTATGCCAAATGTAATTGTGAAGAATAATACTGCTTTTTCCTCAAATTTTATGTCACCTAATCAAAATGCAAGTAATAGTCAAAATAATGAAGAAAGTTGTGCCGGTTCTTCTAAGTCCAATGGAAATGTAGCAGAAACATCAAACGCCGATAATTCGCCTTCAAAAAATGTTACAAGATCTCGAAGGGGTCGAACTAGTAAGTTCCTACTTTTTATAAAACAATTAAAGACTTAACTTTGTTTATAATGAATGTTTTAGAACCACAGAACTGTTTGCTATTACCTCAAGAAAATGAAAATAACTTGAATAATCCTAAAACCATAAGAAATGATTACGAAATAGAAAATTTAAAATTTAATGGGATAGAAAAAGACGAAACTCGAAGACATTTACAAACTATAATTGAGGAAGAAAATTCCGCTCGCAGCAGCTACAGTAACACAGCCAAATTAGAAAATGATAATACTTTAACACAATTGAATACAATTGTCTCTAAAACAAACCAAACTTGTAGTTATGGTGAAAATTCGTATTTAAATAATACAAAAGAAATGAGTTCTCTTTTATTTCACAAAACATTTAGTGATACAACATTGAATCTTCTTTTGAATGCTCCTTCAAGTACACCTTTTAAGAAACGAAAAACTCCTCGTGATGACAAGATTTTTTGTAAAATACCTGTGGTTAAAGTACGTCGATTGCATAAAAAAGATCTCATGCCGTTAATGATACCAAAAAAAAGAATTCCTAGTACTAAACTTTTAAAAGGTAAAGTGACAGTTAACACAAGCAAAGAAAGTATAAATTTAACAGATAAAGCCATAAAATCTGAAAACAACGGTGAGTCTTTGAAAGATGATATTCACCTTCGCCCAAGACGGAGGGCTGCACCAACATGTTTCAAAGAAATTACACTTAAAACAAAGATGAGATATGATCCAAAAAAAGAAATTTGTAAGATTTGATCGTTTGTAGGTCTTTAATTTTTAATTTGTTTTTGTTTTCAGAAACATGGAAATACCAATTTTAAAAAAGTAAAGCTATGATGAAGAATAGGGTTATATTGAACTATTTTACAAACTTAACTAAAAAATCATTTTATTTTTGAAATATTTCATGTACTTTATTAATTTATGTAATACTACCATAGAACAAAAAACATAAGAGCAAAAATATTATGAAAAAAAATCTATCCAAATGAAATTTTTTTATGCAAATAATCTTGCAAAAAATACAAATTAAAAAAATGGTCCATTATTTATTATACGTGAAAGTTGCTTTTTTATGCCTATGGTAGGTACCTCGAATTTTGTATTGTACGTACATTAAGTATATAATATTCTGTTCTATATAAAAATACATAATATTATGCTATTAATTAGAATATTACATTTTTCTGTTAAAAATTTTAAAGGTTTAATTTAATTAAAAATCATATGTTTCGAAAAAGATATGAGTACATATGTGTTAAATTATGTCGAATATATGAACTGAATAAAACTAATAATAAAAATTACTGCGTTAATAATAATAATTAATATTATTTCTTTCTATTCGTATTTATCCCATAGCACGTTCCATAAACAATTTCTAAAAGTTAAAAACAATTTATTATCAAAAATGTTGATATTTTTTACTTACTTTCAATGGTGGCATGTTCTGAGTAAACTGTAAGCCCAAGCTCCGTAAAAGTACAATTGGCGAAAACGTTGTGCTATATAAATTTTGAATACCATGAACTCCCAACATAATTGGTAAATTTTTTAACAATCTTTCTTGCTCATATTTTACAAGATAGTGTAAATCACCTTTTTCGTTTAATTTTTTTCAATGATATGCAACGATTTATGAATCATTAATTTAATATTGAAAAAAAAAAAATACATTATATTCTTTTATATACCTAATTTTGAACCATTGTAAATGGTATCATTTAGTATTCTTGTTAAGCATTCCACATCCCCGAAACCCAAATTGACACCTTGTCCGGCTAATGGATGAATTCTATGAGCAGCATCTCCTACTAAGGCAACATTATGATTAACGTATGAAGCCGCATGCCCAAAACCGAGTGGAAAACAGGCTCTTGAATTTTCTATAACAGATTTGACGCGTGGAGGATATTGTTTTATACTTTTAGAAAAACCATTAGTTAATGATTCCAAAAAATTAAGTGCATACTTTGTTAGATCATCTCTTGGATACTCCTTAATCTATTAAAGAATTATTTAAATGTAGAAATTAATATAAGATGTGAGACTAACAAAAGATTCGTTCAAAGCGTTAACAAATTCTTCCGATGACATCAATTTGAGCTTTTTCGCATGTTCCGGTGTCGTAGTCCACACTAAAGAGCTGAAATTATCACTCAGTGGCAACATAGCTACTGGCCCCGTGGGAATAAATCTTTGCCAAGCTACGTTGTTTCCGTCACCTATCTGTTCAAAAAATAATTTGAATTTTGATGAATTATAATAAAATATAAATGTATTTACTTCTTCTAGTTCTAATGTGGCAACCAATCCCATCTGGTTATAATTTTCACTGTAGTAGGTGACACCCATTTCCTTTCTGACTAGTGAATTAGCTCCATCTGCGCCCACCTAAAATAGAAAAAAAAATTATAATTTTCAATCGAATTTAGCATACATATACATATGTGGAATAATCTCTAAGCAAACAATTATTTTCTATTTGTAGACAACGGTGGTGATATCACTTCCAGGACAAATGGAGGTATTACAGCTTTATCATTCATAGTTCGTCGTACACCAGATATTATTCCGAAATTCATTGCAAAACTGGATTCATCAATTAAAGTGAATGATCATGAAATTGGTGATGTTGACTGTGAAATTAAATTAGATTTTCGCCAACTAGTACCAAACACTGAACGTGGGGAATCTGAGCTAATAATGTCATTCATTGAAGTTGGGCAAAAAAGAATTTTAACTCATCCACTATGTGAAACGTTTTTATTTTTAAAGTGGCGCAGAATTAGAAAGTTTTTTTTAATGAGTTTATTTTATCATGCAGCTTATGTATTATTATTTTCATTATATGTAACTGGAGTTTATGTCAAGAGCTGCTTAGATGACGCAAGCTGTCGTCCATCAAGTTATAGTTCAGTGGTTGGTTACTTTGTTGTTGTTTTGAATTTAGCTCTAACTGGACGAGAATTCTTTGAAATGGGTCACGGAATTTATGCATACGCAAAGTATTGGGAAAATTGGTTACAATGGACGATTATATTAGGGGTATTTCTTTGCGTGGTATGTTAATAGCTTACATTTATATAATGTTACATCTACGTAAGTGTGTTGAGAGATTAAAAATAATTGTGCAATAAAGTTTTAAAATAGAAAAATGAACTGTAAAATTACTTTTGATATTCACAATATGGTAGATGCACCGTAGACGTACACACATATATATGTAAGAATATGTATATGCTTTTAGATGTTTTATATTTTATTTCTTAGACGCCTGACACAATTATAGCAAGAGACTTAGAAAAGGTTCCTAAGTGGCAATTTCACATAGCAGCAATTATAATATTTTTAGTTTGGTTGGAGTTAATGATGCTTGTCGGAAGATTTCCAATTTTCGGACTGTATATACAAATGTTCACAAAAGGTAAAAAGTTATCCAAAAAAAACAAACTTATTTGTTTATTATTGCAGTTGCTGTAAACTTTGGAAAATTTCTACTAGCTTACTGTTGTCTTTTAATAGCTTTCGCATTGAGTTTTTCTGTGTTATTCAGTAGATACAAAGCATTCAAAAGCATCCCTTGGTATGTATTTTTACTACTTACATTTTAAGTATTAGCAAAAGAAAAGCGTTTGGATTTATTGTTACCAAAATATTTAGTTTATTGTTACCAAAATATTCGATAATATCAATTGTTTTAATTCATTGAAACCTTATTTTAGGTCATTTCTTAAAGTAGTAACGATGATGGCTGGCGAATTGGAATTTGAAGACATATTTTACGGAGAAGAAGAAGATACGAAGTCTGGAGATGCTTCTTCGGATCTCTTACAAGCTGATACAGAAATTATATCATTTCCAGTGACTTCTCACATAATATTTTTGGCTTTCGTTTTACTTGTCACCGTTATTTTAACAAATCTTGTTGTTGGTTTGGCTGTAAGCGATATTCAAGGACTTCAAGTTTCAGCTGGCTTAGATCGATTAATAAGACAAGCCGAATTAGTTTCTAGGCTAGAAGGTTTATTTTTTTCTCGTCTCTTAAGAAAAACTCCTCCAAAGTTATTGTCTTTATGTCAACGAAGTGCACTTCTTCGAACATCACGGTATCAATTACAATTTATGACAAGACCGAATGATCCTCGGGACACTCAATTGCCAGAGGATATAAAATTAAACATATTTAAACTTGTTGCTGATCGGAGGGATCGTAACCAAACTATTCGTAGAAGAAGATGTGAAGACAATTTTGATACATTTCAAAGAAGTGTTGGTAGATACGATTATTCAATGGGAATAAACTGTTCCAAAGAGGATACCTGTGCCCTCCGACCCCGTTCTATAGCTTTTTCAAGGCAACGTTTATTTTCTGATAATGAAAAAGGCATGAATAAAATAAAACTTACTGCTAAAAATTCAATATTTGACTCAACGGAATCTGATGAACTAAAAGACATTAAAACTCAATTGAGAGATATGAAAGCAAAGTTCGACAAATTTACGGAAATTTTATCAAAGAAAATGAACGTTACAGCGGAAGAGCTGTGCAGAATAAAAATGCAATTAGATCAAAGATCGCAACACTAAATGTTTCACATATTTAATAAAATTAGTTTAATTTTTTACGGCGAAACCATTTTTTTTTGTAATTTTTGTATAAATTAATTTGTTAATTAAGAAAAAATATATGAAAATATGCTATAAAGTTACTTATACTTGCCAACAAATCGCATTTAATTTTTTCATCGCCTTTTAAATAAACCGACCAAAAATTCTGAAAACTTCCTTGACAAAATTTTACACCTTCTATTTTACTTAAATTTTTAATTTCAACATTTTTGCACTTTTCTAACTCTTGGCAAACAGCGTGAATGACCAAATCGTTTTCAACAATATAAGCAACATCATTTTCAAAATTATCATTATTAAATGAAATGGAAGCAGTCGAACTAGCATCTGATACCTATAAGATTTTTCTGTTTTGCAACCGCAAAATTTTAGTAAATTATTTAGCATACTTGCATTTGTTTTACTGGTTTGTGCCTTATATCAGATATTGTTGACCAAGCACCAATATTTTTCATTAATTTTACAGTGGCATGATTTAGAGCTGAAACTCGATTTCCATATTGGCTATTACAATCAAAAGGTTTAAACGGTGGAGCGCCTTCTAAAAGTAATACTTTGCATTCTGAAAGGAATTTGCTTTTACCTAAAATAATAATTAATTATTTTATTATTTTATACTAGAATACAATATAAAAACCTAAAGCGCAAGCTAAAGTGGTTCCAACTAATCCTCCTCCTGCTATAATAATATCGTAATGCTTATGTGAATCACTAAATTCTTTACTGCTTTCAATAGAATTAATTTTATTTTGAGTATAAATATTTCTTAGATTTATTTTAATAATTTTATTGCATGGCAAAATATTCCTTAATGCCATTATTTCTTTTATTTATAATTTATACTACTTTTATTATTTACACTACTCTTATTTCTTCATAAATTTGTCAGCTGTTATGTGTGTAATATGAATATCAAATACACTTCCTTCAGAAATCAGAACGCTTTATTAATCCAATTCACAATAGCTATTTTTAGTACAAAATTTCATAAAAACGAAGACAATGTGACTGTGAATATACATATAGTTTCATACTCTTTGATTTAACCTAGCAAAATAAAGGTATAATTTTATCAAGCTTATTTTGATATAACTTGATTATTTACGGAATTCTCAAGTAAATTGTTTATCATGAATTATTATACAATTTAATCATTTTTGTAATAAACTTTTTGCATAAATTTCTATATGTAGAATTTTATGATATGACTTGTTTACACATATACGCTTCCAACTTAACTGATGAAAACAATTTATATAAAAACTTTATTAATTTAAAAATTTAAAGTAGTATTCAATTTATTGTGCAGGAATCGAAGCATATTGCAATGATGTAAAAAGGCAAATTCTGTGCAATCATTGCATTCCCGTTTTCATAGACCTATTGGCAAAAATATAAATACATAACGGAATTAACGAAAAACCAATAACGTAATTGGTTTTCAATAACCTAGTTGTTAAACATTCATTTATTATCTCAACCATATCAGAAGTGCCAGAAGATTTGAATTTTTTAAAATTACAAAAAAAAACAACATAATGACAAAAGTTGAGAGATATTGGAATAGTATTTTGCTTTCTATTTGTATGTTCAATTGCTCATAAGTACATAGTTTGTCCTACATAGCACGCTTCACACTCTTGGCAATTTATTTTATATATTAAGTGTGATTGATTCATTTTGTCTTTTTTATCTTTAAGTTTGGTGTAAAGTTTGTGTACTCCGGTTTTGTTATAGAAAATAAATTTGTTGTTTTGCATATACGGTTTGAAGACATTTTTGATTTTGTATGCTATTTCAGGAATATATTGAAATTTTAAAAATTTGGTGTTGTGTCAATTTGGGGAGAATGTTTCTTGTATGTAGTTTTTATTGTCCTTGTTATTGTATTATCTAATTTTGTTTATGAAAAATTTTGCATATTTATTATTTTTTAATATTTCTTTCATTTTTTGTATGTTCTTTTCTATGTATTCCTCAGAGGTTAATGAATAAATTTTATCTAACATATTTCTTACTACATTTCTTTTTTGTTGAACTTGATGTTGCGCCAGAAAGTTTAATATTCTGCCGGAAGCAGAAGGTTTCAAGTACCAATCTGTGGAGATCGTTCCATCATTATTTTTTATTAATAACGTATCTAAAAACGCAAGTCTATTGTTTTTTTCGGATTCCGATGTGAATTTTATTCTATTGTGAAAACTATTAAAAGCTTCTAACACTGCGTTTACCTTATCTTTCGGTATTGCCATTAATAAATCATCTACATATGTTATATTTTCATTATATTGATTTTGAATTTTAATTTTTTAACGGTTGTAATTATTAAGTAGTAGTATTAAGTAGTAATTAAGTAATAATTTAAATTACGAATTAGATCTAAAATTGTTTTAGTTTTGGCTTCATATCAACCCGCAATCAAAATTTTAGAAGAATTTTATTTATTTCGGCAATTCCCATCTATTTTTAGTATGGGAGGTCTTATTGAGATCTATTATTTAATTTCTTTTCAAATTCCCTTCGAATTTTTATTTTTTCAAATTCCCTTTGAAATCTTAAATTTTTTCCATTATAGACAAATTTATTAATTTGCATTTCATTGTTTAATCTTTATAAAAATAAATTTAGTTTTTGGTTTGTTACATTATAATTAATTTTCAAACAAAATAGGTGAATTTTTAATAAATATACTTTTATTTACTTAGGTATTCTTAATTACAATCATTGGAATTATTTCGAGGAATTTGAAAGATGAATTTTTATACAATCTTTAAAATAAAATATTTTTGAAGCTATTAAAAGATATTTCTGCTACTTAAGGATCAAGCTTGAAGCTTCTCTTTCTAATTATTATAATTGTATAGCATAATATTAATATTTTATTGTTTAATGTTATACGTTACGTCACAAAGAACGGATTGAAATTTGAGACTACTTTAAAAAACCTATTCGCTGCGAGAGGGGCAAAAACAGTTTTAATAATATGTTGTGTATAGCCCACGCGATATAAAATATAAGCAGAAGGAGAATGTTTTTTCGAATTAAATTTTATTTTTCTCAATATTAAACACATTTACATGCATATTCTTATAATACCAAATACTATATTATCTTTTCCTAAGGAAAATTCAAGTTTTTTTATTTTAAAATGTCTTTTTGTATTGACTATTGAAATTGATAAGAAACCATATTACGATATTGCTTTATAAAATTATAAAATAGACATTAATAAATTATTTAACAGACGTTTGACATCAAAAAAATTAATTTTACTATAATCGATTTAATTTAATATATTTATATTGAAAAGCACAAAATTTTTTTTAGTTCAATTAACATTTTCAAACAGTTAAGTCGAAATTTCTTTGACATCGAACCGGCATTATTTTATAAGATTGCACTTACATTTACTTCATTTATTTATTACATTTACTTAATAACTATGACTGAGGAAAAACAAGTGTCAAATCTTTTTAAATCGAATGTAGAAGATTCAGTGCCAGATAAAGATTCAAATGGAATTAATAATGAAGAAGAAGAAAATTTCCTTGAAAGCAAATTATTCAAAATTATAACTCTTGGACTATATATGGGTGGAATAAGTGGCATGGGATTTATATTTTCTTTGTATTATCTATTTATTTGGGATTCAAGGATGCCAATTATTGAAATAAAATAAGGTCTGTCCAAGGTAAAATTCTCCTGTAAATTTTTTACATGGTATATTTTATGGTATATTTTATATTTATATTTAATTTTAATTTTAAAATGAAAATAAGCAGCAAAATTCGTATAAATTCAACATTCACAATATTTTCTATAAAAATAATAGCTTTTCATCTGTTTTTCTCATGTTGGTCCAATAGGTACGTATGTACGTATTTTAAACGTATGTGTTTAATATTGTGTGTTATAATGATATTCGATTTTAATAAAATTTCAATAATCGTATGTCTACAAATTTCTATATTGTATAATACACTTGCATATATAGAAAAATTTGATAAAGATAATATTGTGACGCGTTTTACCAACATTATGCAGGATGGCCGAAACTCAATGGAACTCTTGAAGCATGGTGATAGAATACATTCAGACGAATCACCTAGTGATATTTTGCTTTTCGGTCCTTCCTTTTCCGGTTACGAAGCCCTAAATTTGGAATATCTGAAAATCGTCTAATTTTTTCATTTTTATTGATAACTTAGGAAATATGACAGCTAAAACGAATTTCGTATATTCGTTTGGAAGTTCATGAAATTTTCTTTCTAACAGTGTAAAAGCGGTTTCAAAGACTTTTTTGTTTTAGAAATATTTAAGCGCAAAATCAAAATTTAAAACAAAATTCCAATAAATTTTGCTTTAATCTTCATTTGCTCATAATTACAGTTTCTATACTTTTCGTGCTGTGAAATCCTTAGGAATAATATATATCCATCGAGTACCGCTAAATCACACCCTGTATATTTAATAGTGAGTTATATATGACATGGAATATTGTATAAATTTTAATATAATTATTTTTATTAAAGAACATTCAAGTTCTATTGGCTTATCCACATAGATTTGAATTACTTTTCTTAAATTAATTATTCAGAAGTTTTATTCTATTCTTACTTTCGAGTTCTTGTTACATTTTCACAAATTTACGTATGTAAGTTATAAATATTAAAAAAGTTAAATATATACGTGCATAAAGATCATGTGACTGACTATACCTTACCTTATTGAGCACTCACCTTATTCTGTACTTTGTGTTATAATTTTGTTTAAGGCAGAAAACCATTAAAAAAATATATTATAAATAATAGGTTTATTCAGAATTTCTTGAAAAATATAAAACGTGATGAGCTTAAAAGAAATAAAATATGTATAATGTTTTTAATTATATTTTAAATTTAATCCATCTACTTACAAATTAAAAAAAAAGGTGAGTAAAATGAAAGAAAATGTAATTTTCTTATAACACAATCCTTTACAGTAATTGTCAACATATATAAAATATAATATATATGTGTGTACATTCATTTTAATACAGATTGTATGCCATGTAATAATAATTTCTTAAAAGAGGTATTGCAATCGTGTGAAATTTGATTCGCATTTTGATTTCTATTATTTTCTGCATGCGTGTCCCTTCCTCACAAATTATTTAATTTTCTTAATATATATTAATATTATTTTGGGCTATGAAGTTTTCTAAATCTTGATTGCTTAATTTTTCCAATCAATTTAAAAAGTCAAATTGCGTACTGGCCTAGCAAATAATTGACGTTATTTGTTTAATATACTAATAATTATATTTATTTACTAGATTTCTTGCAAATTCTCGTGTGTTTTGCATTGACAAGATGCATTTTGTTTTCAAATTTGATGACTCCTTGCTTGCGAGCTGGTAGCGGATGGCCGTGAGATTATTATTAATCAAAATTAATTCTTAGCAAGAAATGACTTGGTCATATTCGTCCCTGTACCTATAAATTTCAATGTTAGCTGAAATGATTTTAATTAAAACTTACATATATCTGTTAGTTTTGTAAATGTGATGAATTGATCAAACTGGTGAAGTTTTTTTAAATCATTTTCACTATCTCATAAAATTTTCGCGCCACATCAATACAAAAAATTTATAAGAAGTCGTTCATAATGCTGTTCACATCAATTTTTATATGGTTTTAAATAAATAATTTTATTTTCTCAGAAAGTTATAAAAATTACATTAAAAATGTAACAAATAATTTAAGTTTAGCGACTTTATAATGAATGCAGTAGTTTTCTACTACCATTCATTATTGTTTATTATTTTATTCAATTGTATTTACTAACTAGTAGATATACTGTTTGTATATTGCATATTTTAAAAGACACATTTCGTGTAATAATCA